CTGGACTTGATTATCTAGAGGTCTCCTGTTCACTCACGGGGGCGCGGGAGTTGAAACAACGGTGCAACTTTCTTATTTACACCACCACCACCACCTCCTCTGTCCACCCAACAGCATACTCACGGCTTCGCCACAGTCAGGGTCATCCGGCTGGTCGCGTGCGGTGGGGGTAGGGTGTGGGTCATTTCCATCGCTTTGAAAAGGTCAGCGTGGAAGAGCAGGCCAAATACGGTCGAGAGCAGCGGTCGGCAAGCGTGCGGGCCTCTTCGCGACGCGATTCATGAAGGACCCACCGTCTCGCATTCACCCACAGTGCGTTGTGCGTCTCTTCTTGATATTTTGATTGCCGACCCCTGCTCTGGACGGGCTCTCAAAAGCTCCCTTTTATTTGAGGCCCTTTTGCCAGCAGTGGTGTGAGCAAGCAGTTTCAGGGCTGCGCCTTTTATCTCATAAATGTTTTTTTTTACAGGACGTCAGTATACGGCCTACGACCTCGATGCAAATATTTTTCCCGTAAAATGATCGCGCAAGCCTTTCGCTTCTTGCGGCTGCCGGCCTTGTAAGTGACAGTGTTGACGCAAACAGCAATTATCGGTCCACGTTGCACGCGTGGGTACGATTTAAATATATTTTAGGCAATAATTCACACTTGGAACATTTTCGATGGGATGGTTGTGAAAGCCATTGTCAGTCAGCCGGGGGTTGTGCACTCGACAGAGACACTGGGGAGCAAGCGTAGCGGCTGCTGCTACACATATGAAAAGGGGCGGCAGCTCTCGACACGACAAAGCGAAAGCATTATCAGATCACAATTACATTTTTCTACTCGAGCGGGAAAAGAGACGGCCAATTAAACTGCACACTCGCGCGCGTGTAAAGTGCGGCCACGATCTTAGATAATGTCCACCACCCCGGACCTGATTTTCCAATCCAAAACAAAATTGCATGTTTTGCGTGAAACAATCGCTTCGCCGGGCTTCTTTCTTTCTTTCCACGAGACACTCCGCCAATAAACTACGGGGCGAGAGAGAAAGAGAGACGAACACAATCGAGCCATGCGCCTCGAAAATGACAGCTCCATTAGTGACGTGACAACGTCAGCGCTATCGAGCGCTGCGCTACGATCGCCGGGGTGAAGGTGGGTCGGTCGGTGCAGCGGTTAGCAAACCGCGCTGCTGTGGACTCGTCGAACTGAGTTGTTGTATTCACAGCAACGGATATCGTCAGCGGTGAGCGACATCTGAACCACCACCACCCCCCCAGACATGTGCAAGGGGGGTGGGGGGGGTGCAGCTGCTGCGGTAGGCGTCGTGAGCGGTAGAGGGCAGAACATGAACATTCACCGTTAAATTTCGATTTGAAGCTTTCGTGACTGCAGGGATTCATCTTCTTGGTTCTTTCGGTAAAGTCACGTAGAAGGGAAATAATAAAATAATAAAAAAAAACATTATTAAATAATTCTCACGACGTTTCGGCCACAACGCAAGCAGCCGTCTTCAGGTGGAGAACAGGTCTGTCTTCTCGACAGACCTGTTCTCCACCTGAAGACAGAGTCTGTCTTCTCGACAGACCTGTTCTCCACCTGAAGACAGAGTCTGTCTTCTCGACAGACCTGTTCTCCACCTGAAGACGGCTGCTTGCGTTGTGGCCGAAACGTCGTGATAATTATTTTATTATGTTTTATTTTTATTATTTTATTATTTTCCTTCTACGTGACTTTACCGAAAGAACCAAGAAGAAGAACATTCACCGTTGTTCTGAACTCCCCCTGACGCAGGCAGCGATGAGAAGTGAATTTGGCACCGTTTGGACACACATGTCGGCTGGACAACAAGAGGAATATTTAAATTGTGTTGTTTTTTGGGGGGGGGGGGAAATTGGAAGCAACGGGAAAGAGAGGAAGTCCTTGACGACCACGTAAGAGATTGGTGCCAGATAGATGTGTGCTACTTAAGAATATTGGCACAGGACAGAGTAAAGTGGAAAAAATTAAATGTGCAGTGGGTTATCTGCCCATGGATCGTGATGATGATGATGATGATAAATCCGCCCCCCTATCTTCACCAAAACGCACCAACCATTGTGGTGAAGTATGGTCAAACAAGTCCCATAAACGACGTGGCATGGGGAGGCCTTCATCCAGCAGTGAATTGGGATGCTACTTTAAAACAGTGACTACGGTAGCGACCCCACTATTACACACATCCTTCGATTGGGCTAATATTTCACGGCGATGCGTAAGTCGACAACAATCACCCAGCCCAATTTACGAAACATGTTCTGGTCAATAAGCACCACCCTGGTGCCGTGCATCTACCGTGCGGGGATAGTCAGCAGAGGGCCGCAAGGCGCAGTGGCACAATCGAGCGGTGTGCATGATGTAAGGCCTCAGCAGGGTGCCTCTCGTGAGCCAAATCGGGCCCCCCTTTGGTACTTAAAAAAGGAAACTGGCTCAACAGTCACGTGTGACCGGGTCACTGGTCATTCCTTAGTCGTCGACCTGGGGTCAAACACGCTGCGGTTATCGGATGGGGTGGGGGTAGAGACGGGGGTGGGGGGGTTGAGGGGCAGAGTTTCCGTTACAACCATTCCATTTCACAAACTCAGCCATTCCTTTTCACAAACTCATCTGTACAGTTCCCGTGCCCCCCCCCGCCTCCTGTGTGAGACGAAGTGGCGTGGCAATTAACCAATATTTCAGTACAACCATTTGTCAAGACGCTGAGCAATGTGGCAACAACACACATTGCTGCGTGCCATGCCAGCCTCGTCAGGTGCTCGCCAACAGCAATTGCCATGGCTAAGTGGTGGCTCTCTGATGTTGTCTTATTTGCGTGCTATTTGTTTGCGTGAAATAATTTTAAAGGAGCTCAATACAGTAGTTATGTTTTTGAACACGCATCCTTCAAACATCCACCACGGCTGTGCGGGGTTATGTAGATGTGAACTTAATTTCGGGTTCAAATATGTGGCACGAATAGAAATGTCAATGATTGTATTTATTTATGTATTGCTCGTCTTAAATGAGCAAGCCACATCCCTTCTCCGACTCCTCTTCCTTGATCAGATCACGTGTCACCGATCTGATGCCAGGGATTTCATGATGCCTCTAACCCACCCGTAAACAGACAAGGGTCCGTTTCACTGCCAAAAATGCAATGGATAACATTTAGTTCCGTCAGCTTACCGGCCTTGCAGACCAAAGCTTTCCAGCAACATTTATTTTAAAAGCCAAAGCCTTGGATCGGTTTTAGGTCTCATCCGCAGGGCAAGTCCTGTTGAACTAACATCTCTGGGTTTCCTGGCATTATAGGCAACAGCCAACCCTGAAGACCTGCGGGTCCCTTCAGTGCTGCCTACAATTTACTTCTGCGCGTAGATTTTATTTCAAAATCCCATTGCGTCTCCGGTTGTGTACTGCGTGCTGTTCCGCACGCTGTCCGACGTTTCGCTCCACGATCTGTGCCTCATCTTGGGACCAAAGGAACCGATTTGCTTTCGTTTCGTTTGCACGATGTCTGGCATGACGTTAAAACCCCATGATGTCCGGCACGTGGAGCACAACCAGAAAAACACGCGCCGGAGTGCGCGCGTACATTTTGCGCCATCCAACCTCCTGCTGCGTTAAGGTCGAGGGGACTTGGAACACCGAGGGGGGTGGGAGGGAGGGGGGTGGGGGCCGGAGAGCGAGCCCCCCCTCCCCACCCCAAGCCTAACAGCACACACGGTGAGCACGTTCACCCAACTGACTCCTCGCGCTCGCGGAAACGCCGATCCACCCGCCTGGCAGCCCGCGCGTCGAGGAAGGAACGCGAGCGCGCCGGGGAAACTTAGAACATTTTTTCCCCCCTGTAGTCGCGATCCCTCGGAGCGTAACCTCTCATCGCCGGCCACGGAATTAGGTTTCGCCCACGAGCGCCGCTTTGGCAAATTATTTATTTGTGACCTCCCCAGAGGCCGCCACGGTTTTTGAGTTGGGAGTCAACGTTACGTGGCGTTTTTCGGTGGAGGCGAGGGCATGTCCCCGGTGTAAAGCGATCCGGATTATTGTCACCGCCGCATCGCAAGCCATTGGCTGAGGGCTGTATTTCCAATTAAAAACATCCTAATAGTGGGCCCCCTTGACACTCGCAGATGCTTTGCCAGGGGTACCATCAATTGCAACATTATTCTTCATTATTGTCAAAGTGCTTTTGTAATTTAGGATGCGATATAGTACAAGGTCAACATTCGCCGTTCGCCGGCAATGAAATCATGCACACCCAGAAGGCCGTGCGGCTGATGGATTTTGTTTGTTGTAGAAACACGTCTGTTTTGTTTTAAACGTGGAAGGACGGAGAACGCGTGTCGATGGTGAAGGAGACGTCTTGTCTACGCATTTATTTTAGTGACGTTTGCAGGGTCGTCGGGGCCAGAGGGGAGCTACGGGGAAGGGAGGGACCTCCGGTAAGTCCAGGCATCCCGCCACTCGAGCCCCTCCGGTCCACAGCTCCCGGTGCAGTTACACCGCCTGCACAATCGATAGCTAAAGCCAGTGGTGTGATGACCGATTGACCCCCGCTATCAATGACCCCCCCCCCCCCCGCCCTGGATTACATTCCTCCGAACTTCAGAATTACAGCCAGTGCAGGCCCGCATTTTCACTGCCTCCTTAAGCAGCGTGGCTGCTGTCTACTTTTGGAAGCACGCTTAGACGAGGGTGCAAGGAGGATTGATGCCTCCGGCTGGTGACAGCCAATCCTCTGGCCCTTGGTCGACAGCCCGTGCTGACAACTACATCATCAACTTGCCTGAGCGCTTCCACGACATGCGGGCAGATTCAGCTAAACTTGCTTCGGGGAAACTGACTCAGGGAAATTGGCGCAGGGAAACTGGCTCACGAAGGCTGACTCAGGGAAACTGACACAGGGCAATCGGCTCAGGGAAAGTGGCTCACGGAAAACTGGCGAAGGGAAACTGGCTCATGAAATGAATTGAACCTGTGTTGGTAGCCAGTGCACAAGCACACTTTACAAAATAACCCTACACATTCGTCAATAACACTGGCTTTAAAAGGAAACAAATATAACATAGGCGACATTTAGGGTCAGGACCTTTGCACATTCATGTTTGTGCTATGATAAAGGACCATTAATCGAAACGTCGCCCATTATAATTTTTTAAAGCCACTGTTATTGAATAATCGTGTTTACGGTCCTGAAATGATGCCCTGCCCTCGCGTGGTACAACAGCGCCCTCTATGGTGGACATGGACAAATGTAATCATTACATACATTATCGACGAATCGTTTCACAAATTTGACACTTCCACGGGATACTTATGTCAGTGTGTAAGTCTGCCAAATGAGGCATTTTTACAAGAAATAATATAAGCCACTTTAGCATAACTAAATCTATAGCAAACTTTCGTGGTTACTGTTGCTGTGAACTTAACTCCAGTGGTGCCTCGGTATACGTCGTTAATTCGTTCCAGAAGGGAGGACTTATACCGAAAATGACGTCTACCAAACGACTTTTTCCCATAAATAAGAGAAAGGAAATAATTCCGTTCCAGAGTATAATAAATGATGTTTTATATGGCATATTATACATTAATGGGGTTGTATAAAATAATGTAGACACTACTTATTACTAAAATGCATACATAAATTAAAATAAATGTATAAATACATTAAAATAAATTGAAATAAAAATAAAATGTAACGTCACTTTACCTGCTGAGAGGAGTTGACAGCCTACGAGGATGGTGGTGATGGAAGGGGAGGAGATGTTATTTTTTGGAAGGAGACCTCCCCTTCCATTAAAACTTCAGGAAGCTGAAATTCTGTGGGTTTTTTCTCTTTCTTTTTCTTGTCTTTTTTCTTGACTTGGACCTGGTTGAGGCTCACCAGGTTTGAGTTTTACTAAAAACCTGTCCATTGAAGTTTATGTTTGCCTTCTTCTAAGAATGTTCTTGAAGTGTGACATTGGTCATTCCACACAATACTGTTACGCTTGTTAGAGCTTTATTGGGGGTGGGAGTATACGCGGGTTCTGTACGTGGTAACTCATCCCGACCTATACAAGTTCTAACAAGCGCGTCGTATCCCAAGACTTTTTGTCATCGTCAAACACGACGTATACCAAATTCGACGTATTTCGAAGTGGTCGTATACCGAGAATGACGGTAATTGATTCCTCCACCAATACTGAGGACTTGGTCACCACTCACCGATGTTGAGGACTTGGTCAACCATTCACCGATGTTGAGGACTTGGTCTACCACTCACCGATGTTGAGAGCTCGGTCTACCACTCACCGATGTTGAGGACTTGGTCTACCACTCACCAATGTTGAGGATTTGGTCAACCACTCACCGATGTTGAGGAACTTGGTCAACCACTCACCGATGTTGAGGACTTGGTCAACCACTCACCGAGTGTTGAGGATTTGGTCAACCACTCACCGATGTTGAGGACTTGGTCAACCATTCACCGATGTTGAGGACTTAATCTACCACTCACCGATGTTGAGGAACTCGGTCCTAACCACTCACCGATGTTAGAACGCGGTCTAAACCGACTCACCGATGTTGAGGATTTGGTCAACCACTCACCAATGTTGAGAACTTGGTCAACCACTCACCGATGTTGAGGATTTGGTCACCACTCACCAATGTTAGAACTTGGTCAACCACGTCACCGATGTTGAGGACTCGGTCTACCACTCCACCCATTTCGTCTCATCCACCGCACGGTCTTGAACCACCACTACCACACTGCAGGTCACAAAAAACTCACCCACTCACACAAAGATCCCCCGTATAGGCTCAACACGCTTTTTTGTGTCAAGTGCTGTTCACGAGCATCGATGAAAGCCTACACAAGGGGGGTGGGTGGCCATCACCACGCCCCCGGCCGCCTTTGTCTCCCCATTGGCGAGTTTACACACCGCACCAGGTACTCTCTTGAGGCTGAGTCGGCCTAGGGGAGGCCTAGGATCGGTTCAGATTGTTATGCCCGTGAGATTTTGACATCGAAAAATGACTGACAGAGAGAAGATATTGGCATTCAAAAGTGTATTGCTCTAGAAGTACCCGTTCAGTGCATCTAAACTGGACCCAAAGAGTGACCAACGTAGAGGTAATAAAAAGGCTGCACATCGAATAAGACCTGATGGAGGCAGTGATGGGTAGGAAACTGGAACTATTTGTACACACGTGTAGGATGGGCAACAAGAGGAATATTAATATTGTGTTATAATTGGTTTTTTACCCTTCTATCTGGCAACAAAACTGACACCTTTTTTACAAGGAGTCATGTTTACATAGACCACAATACCTGCAGTCATAATGCAAACAAAAAACATAGCTCTGATAATGTGCACTGTCCTTGAAGTTGATTAGTCCACACCCGAGACAGCTTTCCTTAGAGCCTTTGGCGTCATCTGGTCCAACCCCTGTGAGACTAGGCTCTAAGGAAAGCTGTCTCGGGTGTGGACCAATCAACTTCAAGGACAGTGCACATTATCAGAGTTATGTTTTTTGTTTGCATTATGACTGCAGGTATTGTTGGTCTATGTAAACATGACTCCTTGTAAAAAAGGTGTCAGTTTTGTTTGCCAGATAGAAGGGTAAAAAAACAATTATCATATTTTTTACTGGAAAATGAGGTTCCAATGGTGTAATATTGTGTTGTTCGGAAAATGGAAGGAACCGGAAGGAGAGGACGACGACATTAGAGACCGGTGCCAGAAAGACGTGGCGGCTACTTGAGCATAGTGGGCACAAGAAAAGGGCCGTCCATAAATGACGTCACGCACCTAGGGGGAGGGGGGGGGGTCAGACATTTGTGACGATGTGTGACGATGGGGGGGGGGGGAGGGGGTTGAGAAATGTGACGTCACATCAAAATGTGCAACTTTAAATAAATATAGAATTATATTCCTGGTTCTTTTGGTAAAGTCACGTAGAAGGGAAACAATAAAATAATAAAAATATAAAAAATATCTTTTTTTTATTGTTTCTCTTCTACGTGACTTATCGAAAGAAACAAGAATATGAATTCATGCAGTCACGAAAGCTTTAAATCAAATATATAGAATTGTTATAACAACACTAATTGTTATAACAACACTCCTACAACATCAGAGTGCAGCGCCACATTAATAACGCACTACAATGACAATAGTTTAAAGCGATTTGAAGCATGTTTTATTTTAAAAATAGAATATGGTTTTGGGGGGGGGGGGGGCAGAGCTTTGTGACGTCATATTTGAGGAGCGGGGTCTGACTTTTTGTGACGCCGTGTGACGAGGGGGCGGGGGGGGGGTCAAAAATAGTCCAAAATCGCGTGACGTCATTTATGGACGGCCCCAAATGTGCAGTGGACACCTGCTGTGCTACCTGCCCATAGATCGCGATGATGATGATGATGATGATTGGACAAAGGATTCTCAAACAATCCACCCAGCAGCTGCGCACGAGCTGATTCCATCACTCCGTCTCCGCGACGGACGTCTCTCGTTTTGTCAAAATCAAATGACGTTCATGTCCGTCGGCCTGGCTTTGATCATACCACGTGTGTGGCACTGCGGTTGAATTCCCATATCACACGGTGGCCAGGGGCAGAGGTCGCAAACGGGTACCCGATACCCGTACCCTACCCGATACCCCTGCTACCCGTACCCGGCCAGGTACGGGTACCCGTTTGCGACCCTGGTGCGGCCGGGTACGGGTACGGGTAGGCCGTGAGTCACTGGTGAGTAACCGTTTGTCACTCATTTCGCGTAGGGTACGGGTAGGGAACGGGTACCCGTACCCGGGTACGGGTACCCATTTGCGACCCTGGTGCGGCCGGGTACGGGTACGGGTAAGGAATCAAAACCCGTTTGCGACCTCTGGCCAGGGGAGAGCCCTTGCCTGCAATACGGCAGAATTGTATTCAACTGGCCACCAGACTGCGAGAGGTCAAGGCAGGGCCATCGTTTGTTTTCTCAAACCCATTCTCTCCTGGAAGGATCGGTCTCGAATGCTCCGCAGGCAGATTGAATCAAACTTGAGTTTTATTTTAACGTGGTAAAGTAATGTTCGCTGGGTGGCGCTGTTGTACAGGACAACACGAGGGCTCGTTTCTTCACGCACAAACATCGATCCGAGTGATATCTTGATCTGGTCCCGGACCAGTGCCGGATTAAGCTAGTGCGGGGCCCGTAGCATATGTTATATAGGGGCCCTAAATAAATAAATAAAACACACATAAATATTAAAACAAATACATTTTTTACTTGCGTAGTAAAGTTATTATATTTGTTTATTTGCCATACAGCCAGATAATACGTCAAAAATCGCTAACCTTAAACACCCAGTCGTTCATAAAAGGTTAAGGCAGTATGGTACTATAGTAATAGAGCAAGTGCAGAATCACTGAACCGGAATTGATAGCTTGAAAGCATTTAGCGCGGGGCCCTTGGGCCCGTAGCTACATCTGTAGCTACTTTTGCGATCTGGCACTGTCCTGAACACCTACTTACAGCAACCCTCACTGATCAACGTGGTGAAATATGGTCAAACAACAACCCATGAGGGAAGCCTTTATCTAGCAGTCGATTCTGCAACACGATCTGATGTCGTTCATCCATCTCCGCGGTGGATGTGTTCTTGGGCATCTTCCTTCCATCAACCACCAACCACCATCCGTTCTCGCAATGTGTTCAGCTTCAGTTTCATTTATTTTTCAGTTTCATTTATTAGGTATAGCCCCGTGAGCCATTCGGCTCTTGAATCGGGTGCAACCGCAACAAACAAAAAACAAAAACATGAACAAGAAAACATCTTTAAAGTGAATATGCGCACACAGAAAAATCCAGGAAAAAGCAGCGATGTGTTCTCGCCCAAGATCGCTGACACCCAAGTCGGTATGCTGTCTCTGACTGACATTTGCTCTCTGATCCATCATCTCTTTCCCCTTTCTGTGTCTCGGTGCAATGTGACGCAAACGTCCCTCCGTGCCTCTATCCGCAGTTCTCAGCTCCTTTGTTCCACTTTTGTCAAAGCCCACGTTTCTAATTGTGCCTTTAAACAGAGAAAAAAACTAAAAAAACTTACGAATTTAAGAGTAGTTGACGAAGGCAACAGTAGAAAAATAAATATCATTATAGACACACGGGTGGAGTGGTGGCATAGTGCTTAGCGCACTGCACTATGATCTTGGCAACCTGACTTAGATTCCTGGCCACGAGACCCCGCAAGTGACACCTGAACCAATCCTGAACTTCCGCTCCACTTCACCATCCCACTGACCAGCGTGGTGAAGTATGGTTAACACCCCCCCCCCTCCCCTCTCTTGACTGAAATGCGTGGGGAGACTTTTATTGGAGTGACATGGGGCTACAAGTAAGACGTTACGTCAACAGTAAAAAGTATGAATTCACAATAAAGAATGGTGTTTACTGTTAATCTTAATTAAATTGGCTCCTGACTATCTACACTGGTGAATGGGGTGGGGGGGGGGCATTCCTCATTCAACCGGGTGGTCTGCAGGCCATTTTTTGAGCGGTGATTTTCACAAACCTGAGGCCAAATTGGCATGCAGCGTGGGTGTAATTGACCTACATGTGGTGGAACATGACTGGAAGGGTAAAACAAAACTACAAAAAAACCCCACGCATGGTTCGTGCGTGGTACTGATCTCAAATGTGCGTTTGGAAGTGGTCCGTTGTTCGGTTTAATCGGTGCCATCTGTGGAGGTCGAACGTGGTCATTTAGCGGCACGATGGAAATCTTCAAACGGGGCCACTTCCTTTTCATTCCCATTCACACGAGCTTCTGTTCGTCGGAGGGCCACCCGCCCTGGAAAATCTCAAACTCGGGGCGTGGAGCGGCGGTGGTGCAGCGGTTGGCGCACCGCGCGGTCAATCCGGCGACCCGAGTTCGATTCCCCCGCCGGCCAATCCTAATGTCGGTGGCGAGTGGTATCTGAGCCGGTTCAGCTGCCCCCCCCCCCACCGCTCCACCGTTATCAACCCACATTGACAAGCACAGTGAAGTGCTGTCAAACGTCTCCCGTGACCAACAATAGGGTGTGGTTGAGGCCACCACACATGCAAGGTGAGGAGAGGCCTTCATTGAGCGCTTCTCAACTCCCATTTTCATTCCACGGCACGCTCGCTGTCTTAATTTATGGGGAGGGGGGGGGGGGCACTCCGCATGGCTTTCCACCTCCCTCTCAAAAAAGGTTAATGGGGGGGGGATGGTGGTTGGGGTAGGGGAGATATTGCACCCCTTGCCCCCCTCTATGTTCCAATAACCCGAGGCTTTGCACCGATGATTAATTTCCGTCACCGTGTGTTTCTTCCTCCGAACGCTCGCAGGGGAAACGCGGGCCACCTGGTCAGCCCGGACCTCCTGGTCAGCCCGGGCCTCCTGGAGCCATCGGCAGCCAGGTGCGTGGCCTTTCGTCATTGTCCGCCGTGTGTCCGCTGAGCATCGTGCGATGGTTTCACTGCACAAGGTGAAGGTGCAGCCCTGACAATGTATTCCCAACGTCCACTTTTGGCGGAAGGGCCACCGCTAGAGGGAGCCGTCTAAGGCCCCCTTGCAGAAGGTGTCTGGCCGACTGTCCAATTCTGGCCAGTTGTCTCGAAAGACGTGGGAAAGTACCGACACTTTGTCCCACCACGCGCAACATGCCGATCGAGAATAACTGGCGTGTGCCTATGTAGAGTGCGGGTGGACAGAGGGGGAGATTTATGGAACTTGCATGGTGTTTTTTTTGCTGCCACGCCGGGGCGATTGAATCGAACCGGCGACCTCTATTGTCCGGTGTGTTGACCATTACACCATCGTGGCAACATCCAGGGGTGAAACGACCTATTTAGACGGGGTGGGTATACAAGATACGACTGTGGGCCACTCCTCCTTTCTCCCGACTCACTTTTACTGAAATGGCTACGGATATTTTGAACCCATAAACACCAATACGTAGGCTCTCACTTTTATATTATTTTTGTTGCACCGTGTATTGGGCTTAGAGGAAGACAGTCTCGCGGTGACAGCATCAATACAAATATTGAAAGGTGCAATGCTCACAATTAAGTTATCTTGCTTTCATGCGCATGTTAGTGAGCAAACAATCCTGGCGTTCAGTAACAAACACCAGCAGTAGCGCGACGACATTTCACGCTGCGTGTATTTTTAGGAAATTAAATATATGTTCTTCTTGGTTCTTTCGGTAAAGTCACGTAGAATGGAAATAATATAATAATAAAAATAAAACATAATACAATAATTCTCACGACGTGAGGACGGCTGCTTGCGTTGTGGCCGAAACGTCGTGAGAATAATTTTATTATGTTTTATTTTTATTTTTTTATTATTTCCATTCTACGTGACTTTACCGAAAGAACCAAGAAGATGAATCCCTGCAGTCACAAAAGCTTTAAATCGAAATTGTAATATATGTTTTCATTTGTAACAATGTTTTGTTGGCATGTATGGTTAATCTTTGGGGGAACATTTTTTTTATATTTCTCCCCTTAAAATTGTTGTATTTATTAATCTGTTAATTTCCCCCCCCCTTATGGCCTACTGGCCCCCCTTTGCGTGGCATTGCGCTGCCGCATACCCCCCTATATAAGTTGCGCCCCTGGCAACATCCCTAAGTTTTGCTGCAATGCCATGCTTTTGAAAATGAACCATGCTGGTGTGTGTTGTAGTCTGTTAACAGGGCTAATTGCGTGTGTCCGTCTCCGCTGATCTCTTGCCACAAATTAACTGCAGACTTCAGCCTCACCTGCTCCGCATTGGGGTATTTAATTCATTTGACAACCATCTGCAATAATTGTGGGTGATAAAAAATATAACTACTGCACGGGTCTGTTTCGACGCGTGAAAATAGGACACGACAACATTTTGTATCCTTCACGTCATATGCATTTATATTAATTACCTAATGGTGGATAATTAACTGTCATTAAATCGCCTAAGAGAATTACATTTCTCCCTTATTTGTCACATCAAAAATCAGATGAAGCCAATACTTTCCTACAGTTAATTGTCTTGTTCGCATATTTGTCTGGCTTTCGTTTTCATTCTTCGGAAAACGTGCCCTCTTTAGAGTGCGTGAAACCGAATATTGTGCTGAGTCTGTAGGAAATGAGCACAGGGTTCTGCCCATTATATCCTAATTTCATATCCTACAAGCCTCCGATCATGTACACCGACAACGACCTCTTTTCTAAAGGACATTTATTACATTAAAGGTTTCTAAACCGGCGGCGCTCGTTACTCTATCCCAGAGGAAATGAGCTGTCCTGACCAATATCTTAACGAGGCCGAGTCTGCTGCTCCGATCTCTCAAACGCAGCCTTTTATCTCGCGTTCCTTTTCTAACCCGTTGTGCATGCTTGCGCAAGATGGAGTTGGGTGACCAGGTAATTGCCCTATGGTTTTTTTTAAACTCTCGCGTGGGTTTTTTCGCGGTCGTGCCGTATAGCTCTCTTGCGTGTCTTCGCGATGTACCGTTGCGTTGTTCGGCCACGATTTCCGACGTTTCGCTCCACGCGATGGGACCGTTGTCAGGATGAAGCCCTTCGGCAGGAACAATCTCCGATCGCGCGGAGTGGAAATGCGTCGTTGGACACAACCGTCCGACCTTTTTCGCGTGTCGTTTGACTTTTTTCGCTGCACGTGACGAAGCAGCTCCCGGCATGTGGAGCGAAACGTCAGACATCGTGCCGAACAACGCGCGGTACAAACCCGTAACCACACGTCGGACAAAATAATGTTCTATTATTTTATTTCTGCTTCCTTCATTGCCATTGCCAGCTGCGTGCTCTGAATTCCACCAGTCACTCGTCGACTCTTTCTCATTAGGGTCCCAGAGCAGCGTTATCTCTGAGCCATCACGGACATTATTGTCTTCTGTGGTTTCACAGGGCCTGCCTGGCGACCTTGGCTATGTGGGTCGACGAGGAGTTGTGGGATCACCGGTGCGTACGCAGCGTTCGCGACACAGGAACACCGCGCGGATTCCAGAGTTGAGAGTTTGCAGATCCTATTAGGCTGCTCGTGGCATTATTTTTAACACGTTATGAGGTTATTTGCGCAATTAATGTAATAATATTCTTGGTTCTTTCGATAAAGTCACGTAGAAGGGAAACAATAAAATAATAAAAATATAAAACAATAAAATTCTCACGACGTTTCGATTGCAACACAAGCAATCATCATCAGGTGTGAAAAACAACAACAAACACAGCAAGAACATTTTCTTGCTGTGTTTTTCACACCTGATGACGATTGCTTGTGTTGCAGTCGAAACGTCGTGAGAATTTTATTGTTTTATATTTTTATTATTTTATTGTTTCCCTTCTACGTGACTTTACCGAAAGAACCAAGAATATGAATCCCTGCAGTCACGAAAGCTTTAAATCAGAATGTAATGTTTATATTCATTATCACTTTCTTCACTTGAGCATTTCCATTTCTTTATATTAATGCTCTTTCTCAGCACAAGTCTTTTGTGAGTTTCGAGCAACTTTCTAACCTTTCCCCCCACTTTCAATGCACTATAAATGACTTTGTTCGTTAATTCATTATTTTAAGTGGTGACATCCATTTAGGTTGCATTTTGGGAAATGGCCGTTCTTGATGGCACATACAAAGCACGTTTTTACGTGTAGGCTCTTACGTGCCATTGCTTGAAACGTTGCCTATTATACTTTTCTTGTAGGGCCACGCTTATTATTAATGGATGTGCCGAGTGTATTTATTCATGATTAATTGCGCTTATGCAACGCAGCAGCAGTATCACTAAATATTTTCACTGTGTTTTAAATCTATCATGTAATGAATCGAGCAAACATCATGTTAATACTATAACAATACATCATTAAGCACATGCCACTGTTTATATTTTTACATGATTACTGTAATTACATTACTCAAGTTGTGTTTTTTTTACTAAATACTTGGCATATTTGTGCCAAATTAATCTTGCACTTAGTTTTTTGGTGTGTGTGTTCATCGATGTACATACTTGCTCCCACTTATTAGCTTTAAATAAAAAACACGATATTCTTTTAAACATAAAGTGGCATCAAAAATCGTAATTTAATTCAATCTTGATGGACCATGGCAGTCCACAGGGTGGCTGATCGGTACTGAAATGTTCTCCATGTCAGGGTTCCCCGGGAAAAGATGGCAAGGATGGGCTGCCAGGCTACCCTGGACAAAAGGTGGGAAGCGTTTGTTTTGTTTGTGAAGCCAGTGTTCATCGTCATCATTGCAATAATGATTATCCGTCATCGATATCACCCCTTATAATAGTCATCGTCATTGTTATCCATCCATCATCATCATCGATAATGGCCATCAACTATCCATGAGCTATCATAATCTTTCAACATCATCCATCCATTGATCTGTCATCACCAACAGCAGCAGCATAATCCATCATGATCGCCATCGTTGTCCATTATACATAATTATCATAATCATCCATACTTTCATCATCATCATCATCTATGATACATTAAAATCATCCATCACCCCCCGTCATCACCATCATCCATGATACGTAATCATCATCATGACCATCTATCAATCTTTCCATTATCCATCATCATCATCATCCGTAACTAACTTCAACAAAGCACTGCAAAAATCCTCTAATGATAATTAACAGGCTTCCTCCCCACACCCCAAGCTTGATTGCACTTACAACGTTTCTGCTTATCCTTGTGGTGCTAATCACACTCTTCAAACGTGGTCTGACAGTAATAGCAGAGTTCTGATGCTTCCCCCCGTGCATACCCCCGTCCCTGTTATTACCCCTCATTCCCTTTGCGTCTCTTTGAAAGTGTTAAGGGAGATATTTTTGTTTCCTCTTCAAATGTGAAATCACAACAGTTTATTTGTTTTTCTGCCAGCTGTTGGTTTTCTCTGCTGAGCTTTTATTTATTTCGTTGCCATAGCCTGCGAGTGAGCGGTTGATGGTTTGAGTGTAAATCACATACGAGGAGTGTTTGTACGTACGTGCGTGTGTGCGTGTGCACGCGCGTCCGTTTTGTTTGGGACACAGGGAGACACTGGATCACCGGGTTCCCAAGGGAATCCTGGCATCCCCGGCCTCAAGGTGAATGCCGACAAAACTGAGACAGTGTTTCTTTAAAGAGAAAAGCTGTGCACATTGAAGTGGCTGAGTGATTTTTTTTTTAATGGTTGTTATTCAGCGTCGCCATTCATGCAAATTGCATCTCACAATCGATGACGAACTACAGACAAGCTGGAAGGCAGTAGCCAGGCAGTGAGCCGGAGCATACAATCGCCAAAGCTTTGCAGTCCTCTTATATATTAATGTCTTTTCAGCCAATTAATGAGTGACCCGGGGAGCTAATGTAGTTGACAGAGCGCTGAGCTGGAATCTCTGAGATCCTGGGTTCGAATTCGTGTTCCGGCCAACCGTGTTTAAACTGTGCAATCGATTGTAGCCAATTGGTGGTATCTTCCTGGTCATCAATTACTAATATAAACCGCATTAAATGAATGTTCTCACTTTTACACATATTCCTGCTCTGAGGACGATTTTTTTTTATTTTGAATTGCCCTGCGTCGAACACGTTTAACATCGCGTACGGAAATGAGCACCATCAAATGTGGATAAAGAGGCGGTATCGAAGGCACCTCGGAAGTAGTTCTGTGACATCATGTTCTGATGCCTTTCTCCGACTCAGGGTGGTGCGTGGTTCGGCGTGATAGTTCTCAATGAAAACTCTCTGCATCTTCATCGAATGACGTGCCGCTGACAGCACAACTGGAATCTATTGGGGAGAAACACAGTTAAAATAACAAATGCAATAAAGTGGCTTGCAGCAAGTATATGTGTACTGCATGTTGAACTTTTTCACCACCGTACGTAGTCAACCGTGCTAATATATGTAGGGCAAGGTAAAGGTGCAGCCCTGCAAGTGCCTTGCTCACACCACTGCTCATGGAAGGGCCTCCAACAAGAGGGAGCTCCGGGGAGCCTCTCTATGTACAATATTTGACTACTCTTCCACGCTGGCATCCTTTTAAAGAGGTATTTGGCCTACCTACAAAACACTGGTCAGACGTCTGGGGAAGAGGTGGGAGTATCCCACGTTTTACCCAACACCACACGTCACCTTCCCACTGATTAACTGTGGTGCCTGCAGGTGGCCAGGGGGTGGGAGTGGTGGTGGTGGTGGTGGCAGAATTGAACAAACTTGCACCATTGTTCTACACTATGGGAACCTCATTTGCCAGTAAAAATATCATAATAGGTTTTTTACCCTTCTATCTGGCAACAAAACTGACACCTTTTTACAAGGAGTCATGTTTGCATAGACCGCAATACCTGCAGTCATAATACAAACAAAAGACATAACAGTGCACATTATCAGAGTTATGTCTTTTGTTTGTATTATGACTGCAGGTATTGCGGTCTATGCAAACATGATTCCTTGTAAAAAGGTGTCAGTTTTGTTGCCAGATAGAAGGGTAAAAAAACAATTATCATTTGCACCATTGTTGTTCAACTGCCGGGCCGGGGGACCACGTGGAGCTGACACATCTGGATTGCAAGTCCAGATGTCGCCGCTAACCGTTGCATCATCACGGCAGGAATCCTGTATGCACGTGCTTATCGTATTTTCATCATCAGGGTGATCCTGGGGAGATTGGCAGACAAGGCCCTACCGGACAAAAGGTCAGACTCTTTATAAAAGTTCGCACCACGGCACTCTTCAACAGTTGGTCCCGCCTACGCGACACCTGTGTGTGTAAGCTTCACACGTGGTTATGGTGCCACAGTGGCGAGATGTTAACTACCTCGCCTGGTATACTGGGGGTCGTGGGTTCGATCCCGACCCTGACGCCTGCTGCTGTGTACTTGGGGTTAGCGTGTCTCTCTCCCCCGTGGTCGCGTGGATTTTTCTCTGGGTCCTCCGGCTTTTCTCTCTACATTTGGAAACATGCGTTTAGAGTATTTGGCTGCTGTAAATTTCCACATGATAAGCCACTTCGTTGAGCTATTATTTTGAGCCAGGTCGCTTCTGAAAAAGAACAATATAGCTCAATGGGCCTTACCTGGCAAAATAAAAAATAAAATATTTTTGTTGGTTGCTAACAATGTAAAGATTTCTTGAATTAATTATAAAAAATGGCATTCTTAGAAATTATTATTAAAATTACATTATTTCAGTGTTTCTAGTTTAAAATGTGTGAAGCTTCTACGTAATTCTTCATGCTGATTCTATGGATAAGCTTATTGCATTGCATTTCATAGTCTGCTATTTACGTGTGCATTTTCCTACATACATCGGTAGTGTAGCGGATTAGCATGCTACGATACGAACCCAGCGACCCGAGTTCGATTCCCGCCCCACGGTCAACACCAGAGACGATTATCTGAACCAGTTCTGGGCCTCGCCTAGGTCGACTCAGCCTCAAATGAGTACCTGATACGATGTGTAAACATCACCACTAAGGAGACAAATGCAGTCCGGCGTAGTGCTGGTCACACCACCCCCTCGTGTGCTATGGTGGCCTTCATAGGTGCTCGCTAACAGCACTTGTCCCAACAGTCTGTTAATGGATATAGGGGGATCTTTGACTTTGTCTAATGTACATGGGTATGTAGGTCGAGTGATATTTGAACTGAGTCTGGGCTTTCATAATTTTGGCTCGGCCAAGTATAAAATCAGCATTGGAGACACAAAATCGGCAGACATGGCATTAGCCGCACCACTTCCTCGTATATCGTAACAAATCTGAATTGGTCTTCGCTATCTTCTTGGTTCTTTCGGTAAAGTCACGTATAATGGAAATAATAAAACAATAAAAATAAAACATAATAAAATTATTCTCACGACGTTTCGGCCACAACGCAAGCAGCCGTCCTCAGGTGAAGAACAGGTCTGTCAGAAAGACAGCGTCTGAATGACACACCTGTTCTTCACCTGAGGACGGCTGCTTGCTTTGTGGCCGAAACGTCGTGATAATTATTTTATTATGTTTTATTTTTATTGTTTTATTATTTCCATTCTACGTGACTTTACCGAAAGAACCAAGAATATGAATCCCTGCAGTCACGAAAGCTTTAAATCGAAATGGTCTTCGCTACTAACAGCACTTGCCCCAGCATCATGCTGAGGCTATAAGGGGGGGAACCCTGTGTCTTTGTGTTGCTGTGCGTCTTCATTCTAATGCCCTTGTGACATGTCGCCTGCAGGGAGACCCTGGCGATGGTGGTCCACTGGGTCCCGTGGGGGCAAAGGGGGACAAAGGAGAGGAGGTACGAGTTGAGGGTTTGCTCCTGGACCTTTGATTTTGGTCCTCTCACCTGTGGGCTTGGGGTGAGGTTGCCACCTGCCCTGGTTTTCCCGGGACCTTCCTCCTTTTGAGGTAGTGAAAAGTCTCAGTTTTTGTTATTTGCTGAATAATGATGATATACCAGTCAAGACAATGAATTTACATGTAGTTCTCCCCTCTTCTGTACCTGTAGATATTTCCTCTTCTTGGTTCTTTCGGTAAAGTCACGTAGAATGGAAATAATAAAATAATAAAATAAAACATTATAAAATAATATAACATAATAAAATAATATAATAATTATTTTGTTATGTTTTATTATTTTATTATTTCCCTTCTACGTGACTTTACCGAAAGAACCAAGAAGATGAATCCCTGCAGTCACGAAAGCTTTAAATCTGTTAGATATTCTTATTCCCATTTAATGTCTTGGGTATTTCTTCGTAACTCAGAGGTGGTAACTCCTTTTTGGGGAGGTGGGGGGGCACAAACACAGAATTAACTTAGAGAGAGAGACTCGTTGCGAAAGCTGCATCATACGTAATTGAGCCGTGCTTTAAAAAACAAGAGGACATCGACTCTGCTTTCTTTGGCTCAGTGTGGTCATGCTTGCTTCCACCACTGCTGGCTGAAGTGCCTCCACAATAGGGAGCCCTGTAGAGCCCCCTGTAGAGAGGGTACTTGGCCTATATCTTCCACGCTGGCCAGAAATCTTTAGGGGGGGTGTCTGTGTGTACGTGGAACTTCTTTTGCACCGCACGCGGCCAACCGTGCTAATCGGAGTTGCGAAGTGTGTGACGCACACACGCTTTATCCTACCACACGCCGACAGTCGGGGTGAATCAAGAGACTTACTTGCCCCCGTTTGTTTCCACTGCCGTGCCAGGAAAGCGAACCGGTGGATTTTGGATTGCAGGTGCAGTGCGATAATGAGCCATTAACAGCATGGGCAGCACGCCCTGGGCTTCAGTGTCACGCCACACGAGTTATTCTTAAAACCAGACCGGCTGCGTGAGATTATGAGTTGTTAAGCTGATATACGTGGCTCTTCGCAATAATATTTTCACAGCTCGCAGAATAAGCCTGCAAGCTGCAGTTACACTCAGAATGGCACGGCAAACTGTAAAGTTGACTCCCGTTTTGAGATTAATTTGTTTTCTATTTGTTGTTTCCGAATTCACCGTGGATTTATCTGCCACGGTTTAATGAATGCCCCTCCAAGCTCCTGGGGTCCACAACTCTACACGTTCCTCTCCCCCGTGTCCCCTGACCTGGTTTCTCTCCGTGTCCCCTTCAGGGTGAGACAGGGAACCCGGGCTCTGCTGGATTCAAAGGTGAAAAAGGAGACAGGGTATGTGTATCGAGTTTGCTGCTGCTTTTTATACTCGTACACACACACACGTGCACACAAAGACAGAGATCCCTCACGTAACCTTTAGCAGACTGTCAGAACAAGTGCTGTTCAGCGAGCACCTATCAAAACATGTACAAAATGTATGCTTCTCCATTCACCCATGGAGAAGCAAAATGGTCCTTCATGGAATAAATGTAAAGGTGACCTTAGTAAATTTTAATAATCCAATAGTTAATAATGAAAATTAATAAAAATTTGTGTTATTATAACAATTCTATTGTTTATTTGAAGTTGCGCATTTTTATGTGACGTCACATTTCTCAAACCCCCCCTCCCCCCCTCGTCACACATCGTCACAAATGTCTGACCCCCCTCCCCCCCCCCCAGGTGCGTGACGTCATTTATGGACGGCCCCTTATTAGAGACTAATTCAGACCTCATTGGTCACCCCGTGCCCTTATAAATCTCAACGTTCATCCTACAAAAGTCCCATCACAATGGAGAAACACAAACAAGCAGACAAAATAAATTGTTACCCGTATTGAAACGGCTGTACGACGTATGGACCTGAAAACTCAATTTCCCTGTTCAAGAATACGGGTGAACCCTATGGGTTGACAGCATTGCATTGCGAACCATGCTGGTCAGTGTGGTTTGTTTAAAAGGTGCAGGGGGGAGGTGGGAAATCTGGGGCCAGATCAGATGTCACTCGCCACTGATGTTAGCCATGGCTGGGAATAGAACTCAGGTCACCGCGTTCATAGCGCCCCCAAAATGTGATGTCTTTCCAAAGAAGAACATATCCTACTGATGAAGAGGATGATATATATATTCAGCCGTCATAATTTTACAAAACGGTTATTTTTGCCGCGGTGAATGAGTATTGAGTTAAAATTAGCTGCACGTGATGGATTTTATTCAATCACAGCAAGCTATGATTGGCGCGCTACCGCTCTTTATAAATCTCAACGCATAAGTCAGGCAGCACACGACGGCTATCATGGCTGTAAAACATAAATAATTCCGTTTTGTATGATTGGCGAAAGGTAAACTCGGATTACTGAAATCCGTTTTCTTTTGAACATGCCGAGTTAACGTCTTGTAATTTTTTAAAATTATAAAATATTTTTTTATTCCACATCCTCCCTCACGTCAACACATTGCAACATCCTGACATTCCGGACGGCATTGCCAATTGCATCGACGGTACCAGGCACACCTGACTCATCTTTGAGAGAGGAGCGGGGGGTTTGGCCAGGTCATTGCCATTCTGGCTTTAGATATTAAAGACTATGAACGTCCTCGTACCTCTACGTGGAAATCCATTGACTGACACGGAGTTTATTCGTGACCTCGCGGTAAACATGGCACGTCGGAACAACGTTGCGGCGTGTGGTTGGAAACCGATGGACCAACGTTTGTCACCAGGGTGCAATATAAAAAATAAAGTGCATTTTCTTTTTTTTACAGAATGACAGTAAAAAAGTACATATAAAACATCATTTTTTTGACAGAATAAAAGTTAAAATAAACTATAAAAATTTTTACAGAGTCAAATATATTTTTTACAGAATAGTTAAAGTACAAGATTCATTGCAAAAGGTATCTATTTGGTGTTTTGACATGTTTTATTGCCAGAAAGGGTACAACCTATTTTGCATAGAATAAAAGTGTTTTCATATTAAGCACAAATACTGTACACACAATCGTGCAAAAATCAACCAAGATGGTAATGATATCTCATAAAAATGTAAATAATACGTGTGAGGAGGAGAATGACGAATAATTCATAATAAAGGTTTTTGGGTTAGATCGCGTAAGTATGAATGCGTCGTAACCATCCTTAGCCGACATTGTACGAAAATGTCTCAAGTTAGCACTGTGACTAACCAAGCGACACACGGATGAACAAACTACTTTTTTTTACAGAATGCAGATCACTTGTACGGCTGAGTTTGTTCATGGCCATGGTGCTAAATCATTTGCTTGGCGTGTTTTTGATGCGTTCGTTTAATCCGTCGTTAATTTTGAGCGTGTGTTTTTTTTTTCTCAGGGCGACACTGGCCCGCGGGGTCCACCTGGCCTCCCCGCTGCTGTACGTGACATCATCACCACTCCAGCGTTGAAGGATAACTATTTAATACTCATAGTCATGACAAGCTCGGTTTTCGGAAGCGCAATTCGCACAGCGGCCTCAAAGCGCTTTACGTAAAGCTTAAGTCGTGGAGAAATATTTAAGACGCGATTTGAAAAGTGTAACGGACTCGGATTCCCCAATGGATCCAGGGAGGGAATTCCACACTTGTAGAGAGCTGGCTGCTAAAATTTCCGTCTCCCATAGAACCTCCGGTGAGAACGAGAGAAGTTCAACATACTTACATATATACAGAACAAAGTCTGCCCCCTTTGCATTTACGGGGCAATGAATGCCTTCGCTTTATAAGCGACTGGAATCACATCTCATAATCTAAACCATTCAATTGTCCTGCTGTAGTCGTCTAGCCAAGGGCACTCCCAGTGGCAGCTGTCCCTGTGCGGCAACGAGGTGAATGCACCGCCGGCCTGCCAGTGGACATTAGTCTACTATTGGGGGGACGATGGGGCGGTGTGTGTGGTGGGGTATGATGTGTGTGATATATGTGGTGTGTGAGTATGTGGTGTGTGTTACAAGGATGAGTATCGGGTGCTTAAAAGCCTCGGCACCTCAAAGTACCTCACATCTCATGTCAACCATTCCAATGCCCCTCTGTCGGAAACTTCTAGTGCTATAGGTTTCATGCTACAAATGCTTTCGAGTAGCACTGATTAAATACCCCTGTAATTAATCTCTATTACTTTTACCTTTTTTTGGTGCAGGGTTCTCAAGCGACGGGTGTGATAACGACGGAGCCGGGACCTCAGGTGATGAATTTAATCGACAGTCGCGGTTCTCAACCCCCGGTCGTTTTTTTTGTTGCCGGAAAATGTTATTTCAACTTCAAGCTCAATATTGGAAAACAGTCCTTGTGAGCATCAGCCATTATCGTCATCGCCATCATCATCAGCCATGATCTATCCACGACTGAATGCAGGCCTTCAAGCAATCACCATCTCTCGCTGTGCTACAATTCAACAATCCATCTAGCACCTGGCGCATGGGGCTGATTTTCATCACTCCACCTTTGATCGCTCCACCTCCATGACGGACATCCTGTCAGGTCCTTGCGGGCATGTCTCTCTCTCTCATTTGGCCGCCACTCCGTCATCAGTCTCGACAAACAACCACCATCCCTCCAGCGACATCCCCTGCCCAAGCCCGCTCCCTCTCCTCGACAGTCAACACGACGATGTCACGTGTTCATCTGTCTGTCTCTCGGTGTCGTTTAATGCATTGCACCTCTCCGTGCTCCTGTGAAAAGTTCCCAAAAAGAAGCGTTAACCCCGTCAGCCGCATTCATGTGGTCACCAAACCAGTGGCGATCGGTTTCCTTCGCGCTCAGCTCACTCTGCGTCGCTGCGTTTTTTTTTATTGTACGTTTTTGTTCCTTGACCGTCTCGGTGCAGGGAGAGCCAGGCCAAAAGGGAAGCAAAGGGGACGTGGGAGACCTGGGCCCTCGGGTGAGAACCACTGCTTTTGAAAGCAAAAATCAATATAAAATGAACAATGTTCTTGTCAATCCGCTGCTAGATGAAGGCGAACTTCCCCCACGCCGTGTGAGGCATGGGCGTTGTTATACCAAACCACCACGCTGGTCGGTACAGGTTTGTGAAGGCAAGGAGCATAGATTTTGTAGCATGGAAGTCCAGTATAGCAGTGGTTTTTTATGTGTTGCTATATTCTGAACACAAATAGAGGACAGGATTCGAACGCGGGTCGCCAGGTTCATAGCGTAGTGCTCTAACCATTGCATCACTGCTCAGCTTTCTTTAAAATCTTGCCGAAGCATCACAAACTATGATTGCCACTTGTGTAATATTCTGAAAACAGAAACTACAATTGGATCAATTTCCAATGTACGTGTGCCATTATACTGTCTCCTTTGATAAAAAAAAAAGATGCAACAGTTATAGCCACGCCAATTACTTATCCAGTAAAACCCAATTAAGTCACCTTTCAGGAGGGTCCTACATTGGGTTGTTTGGCAATTCTATGAACGAGTATTATGCCCGTGGACGAAAGCAGAGTACCTGGATTGAAAACTCATTTGTTTAGAACTGCCTTTTGTGTTTAGTTTGTTGTCCTTTCCCCCCGTACCTCCAATTAGCATGGTTGGCTACGTACGGTGCGAAAGAAGTTCAACATACGTACATGCATGCTGGAGAAAAGCCCATGCACAAGGGTGATTTGCGCAGGCAATGCTGATATTTCCTTACCACGTCGCAGCTCAGCCAGAAGGGTTTAGGAGTTTCACAAATCTGCAAGATCAACGCTGCCCTTGCCTCCGAAGCTCTGGATCACAGGCGTCCGCCGCCACACTCACGCTGCTGATCCCTGGTCCTGGCATTCGGGATGTTGAAGAGGTCGCTGCTGTTTATTTTTCCCTGCAGGGTCCGCAAGGAAGAACAGGAAATCCGGGCCCTCTTGGACCCGACGGGCAGAAGGTAGTCTACCTTTAATTTTTAAAATATATATTTACGTAAGTAAATAAATAAAAAATCTATATATGAATAATTATAGGTTTTACCATTTCTGGCGATAACACACCTGTTAATATGTTCTAACACCAAATATTCACCAATTGCAAGGCATAATGTCTGCATAGGCATCTTGTTTGCCTTACAATAGGTGTCTATTTGGTATTGTAACAAGTTAACACCTGTGTTTTTACCAGAAAGGGTAAAGACTTACCTTCTTTTCATAATTTTGACATTGGCAAAATGTCCCATAATATATACATACAGTACATATATTGTGCTGAATAAAGATTAGGTGACTGTTTTCAGTTGTGGCATGAATGATGTTTCTGATCGTGATGACAAAATCACTGTTGCTTCAATTAAGGAGTTTAAATTGAGACGTTTCTCTGGATCTTCTCGCGATTGTGGTCAAGCGCATGCCTTATCCTTGTGAGCACAGTTACGTTCATCCCCCCGTTGGGATCCCTTTGTGTGCCTCTGTGTGTGTGCGCTTACACAGGGAGAGAAAGGGGAGATCGGTCCCACTGGGAATACTGGTAGAGACGTAAGTGCATCTTTATCCGGCACTCTAAAGTGTTTTCATATATCAATTGCAACAAAAATATAACCCGTGATATTCATAATAATAATGCCCCTTTTTCCACTGAGTCTATAGATACTTATTCAGGAGGGTCATGCATTGAGATAATTGACAGAATTTTTTTATCAATTGCAACAAAATATAACCCATGATATTCATAATAATGATATTGTCCATTTTTCACTGAGTCTTAAGATACTTATTCAAGGAGGGTCATGCATTGAGATGATTGACAGATTTTTATTTCAGGAGGGTATTCAATTTGGGGGGAAACCAGTGTTTCTTATGGTTAGGGTATCACTCAATGTTCTCCATACATGGGTGCTCAAGAACCCACTTCCTGTCCTGCCATATGTCATCGTTACGTAATCACTGGGAAGAGTTTGACATGTTTGTATGTACAGCAATGGGCGCAGGATTCCACTTGTTCCAAAATTTTTACCTCCGCCATCGGCATTTCGTTGAATTGTCACAAGTCATGGTCACGATTCGATTTAGGAACCAATTGTTTTTGTTTCCTCGTTTGTGCTGTATCATTATATTATATTAACAATGTAGTCACGTATGTACCATTTTGTTCTTTTTATTAGCCCCAATTTAAAGTGAGCATGTAGCGTGCTTATAATTTGAATACACCGTCAATAATTGATGACAATACGTACAATTCTATTAAGTTTCTGTGTGTAAGAATCGCTTTTAGTCGATGAAATCGATGCATTGTTTCGTGGCTTCAAATTCAAATCAGCTGACGATTTTCCTTTTGCAGGGACCACCTGGGCTTCTGGGATCCCAAGGAGCAACAGGACTGCCTGGTGTGCCTGTAAGTTTCCCGAATACGTTAAACCGCACCATAACTTAGTTTGTTCTTGTTTTCCTTAACATCATCGTCGTCGTATAGATATTTTTTGAAGTTAAAATGACAAAAAAAAAGTTGACAAGGGTCCACAAGCCTTTTCTTACCTGAATGTGAGAAATGTTCATGAAATTTGGGTTGCGACCTGTCCTGGTTTCCCCATGATCATCCTCTTGTCGAGGCAGCTGTCCAGAAAAAAATCTGCATGTCTTCCCAGGACATTACAAGTCAGAGTTTTTGTCAGTTGCGTAATAATATGAATCACAACGAGAACAATGCACCACTCAAGATGACGCATTCACAAGGTAGTTCGCCACTGTATGTCTGCACTATGTTAATCTTCTTTCACACCGTACGTAGCCAAATGCGCTAATCGGAGTTGCAGGCGGTGTGGCGAAATATTCTTCTTTTGGTACCACAGAGGTGGCAACCCAAAATGAAATTGATATCATTCACAAGGAATCTAAAAACAAGTTGTTCTGAAAGGAAGCCGCGCCTAATCTGTGTCCAGTATCGCTATGCATCTGTTTTGATTTTGTTTCTTTGCGTGAAGGGTCTGCCCGGGCCAATGGGAATGCAGGCAAAACCTGGGGCAAAAGGCGAAAGGGTGAGTGGCAAAGTGGAAATGGAGTATAATAGCTAAAACAAAAAATTGGTGAACGATTGCACACATTATACACTTCTGACCTGTAAATTTGTTGGTCGGAATATATAAACCGTGAATACGTTTTCAAAAGAACAACAATATTTGTGTTTAATATTTGCTCCTCTTGAGGCTTATGGTTCTAAAATGTGAACCACCAACACAGTTCTTTGCATAATAGAGTTTTAATTACTTGGGCAGTTTCAATGCTCGTACTTAGATTGTAAATGTTGTGGCTTGGCTCTCCAACACACCGGGTGTGCTGTACTAGTGACGAATTGGCCACGTTCTGTTTACGTGACAACCCTTACTAGTTGGCTGTATCGGGTGGTAGTAGGTTTTAACGACACATTTATATATTTACGCGATCTAACCCAGAAAACCTCTATTATGGATGATATTGGTCGCGAAAGCGTACGTGGTTAACAGTTATTTTCACTCCACACTGACAATGGTGTGTGTGTGTGGTGAGGGCTAAAATAGAGCATTTGGTGACATAGATTGAGCAAGGGGACATAGCAGATATTGTTAAGAGTGCCACTTTCAGTCACCCAAACAAAGCAACCCATAACACCTTGGTCTGCCCTTTGACCTCCTGCCAGTTGATTTGGCCACTACGCGTCACCTCCAAGTGCAACCTCACCTGACACAAGTGTTGCGGTAATGTCGCCGCCACTGAGTGACTGACGAGTGGCGGTTATTGTTGGTGTGTGAGTTGACATGTGAGTTGGTGTGAATATGTGTGTGTGTGGCAAAGTAGTTGGTGCACTGTGCTATGAACCCAATGGCCTGGGTTAAATTTTCCACCCATGGCTAGCATCAGTGGCGAGTGATATGTACACCTTCGATTTAAAGCTTTCGTGACTGCAGGGATTCATCTTCTTGGTTCTTTCGGTAAAGTAACGTAGAAGGGAAATAATAAAAAAATAGGAGGAGGGCGCCTTGACAAAGGAGTCTGCAAATTCCTTTGTCAAGGCGCCCTCCTCCTCTAACCCAGCTTAAATATACGCTGCCAAGCTTGGTGGTGTTCATTCAGACGCTGTCTTTCCGACAGACCTGTTCTTCACCTGAGGATGGTTGCTTGCGTTGTGGCCAAAACGTCGTGAGAATTGTATTTTATCATATTTTATTTTTATTATTGTATTATTTCCCTTCTACGTGACTTTACCGAAAGACCCAAGAAGATTATATGTACACCGTTCATAGCCATTTCCCAGGTAAATTCATCCTTAAAGGAGTGCCTGGTTTCGATGTGTAAACATTAGAGCTGGGGAAACAGAGGTGGCCAGGCAAGGTCCTGGCCACACCACTCACTCGAGAGCCATGCCAGCCTTTATGGGCACTCGCCAACAGCACTCGCCCCAACTATCTGTAAAAGGCTTCACTGGGGTTTGTGTCCTTGATGCGTGTCTGTGTGCTCATTGCGTGTGTTGGCGTGCGCGCCCCTCAGGGCATTCCTGGTGTCGAGGGAGCCACGGGCCCTCTTGGACCTCGTGGTCTGCCAGGCCCTCCCGGCCTACAGGGCCCCCTAGGCCTCGGTCTCCCTGGCAAACTGGTAAGGCCTTTCGGTCAGTGCCGTCACCGCTACGGAGGATTTTCTAACAAGCGTTCAAAAGTTACTCTTTGCAGGGCGAATAAGTCTAATTTATACTTCATCATTTATGAAGTATATGATAAGTGTGATCAATTTAGGCAAACCTCAGGAAACAACACATACAAGTTTAATTAAAGCAGTGATGTGTCTGTCTTGATGAACTGCTACGATAACATATGATTACAACACTTGTTTCAAAAGCGATGAAAGTGTTACTTGTATTGCGTGTCACTGTATTTACTTCGCGGGAGGATCAGTTTGCATTGGACGGCTGTGCGCTTTTATATTCAATGTTTTTAAACTCTGTTTCCTAGGGGGAGAGAGGCCAAGCAGGTCCAGCAGGCCCGCAAGGCCCCAAGGTAGGGCCCTCAATACATGTCAATTGTTGAAGTGCACGGGCATCAACATTTTTATTTAAAAAACTGCAACACAAGACTGTAATGAATGTTTAATTTGTGTCCTTGTTAGTGTAATAGTAAGTATGTATGTGTGCTCATTGCATGTGGTGAGCGGTGGCATAATGGTTAGTGCATTGTACTACTAACAGTTTGATTCCTGTTCGTGACCAATAAACAGTGGTGAGGAGTTGAACTGAACTGGTCCTGGGCCTCCCCTAGGTCCGAGTCATCCTTAGTTGAGTATCTGGTGCAATGTGTAAACATCTGCACTGGGGGGACAAATGTGGACAGGTTTGGTTCCTCGCCACACCATCCTCTTGCGCCGGTGTCTGTGAATGTGTGCAATGGGTTGCGGCGGCTAATTAGTAAGCACATTGAGTACCGAGAGCAGCCGTGTGATCGTCAGCACTGGGGATACAAAGGTGGACGGACATGTTTGATGGCCGCACCACCTCACCATGTGACTGTGTCAGCCTCCGTAGAAGCTCACTAACACCACTTGCCCCAATTGTGTGGTAAAGGCTATATGAATGATCACTGCCTTTGTCTTTGTACGAGTGCGTGCATGTGAATGTGTGTAAATGGGAGCGGTGGTCAAGTGATTCGTGTGTTGCACCTTGATAGTGGCACCTAGGTTTTATTCCAGGACTGGGGAGACAAACGTGGCTCAACGTGTCGTTGGCTACTCCACCTTGTTATTTTCTCGTCTCTACGGCTATATAAATTATCTTTGTCTTGCGTGTGTGTGCATGTGTGTGTGTTTGTCAGGGCAATTGGGGAACGGTAGGGCAACGGTTAATGCGCTGTGCTACGAATCCGGCGAGAATCGGGTTCGATTCCCGCTGACGGCCAACACCAGTGACGATTATCTGAACCGGTCCCAGGCCTCCCATAGCTCGACTCAGCCTCAAACGAATACTTGGTGCGGTTTGTAAACAACGCCACTGGGGAGACAAAGGCGGCCGGGCGTGGTGCTGATCACCCACCCCCTCGTGAGCCATGCCGGCCTTCATAGGTGCTACTCGCTAACACCACTTACCCCAACAGTCTGTTAAAGCTACACTCGTGATCTTTGTCTTTGTGCCAGGGTGAGCGAGGGTTTCTTGGAAACCCGGGTCCCCCAGGGGAGAAAGGTCAGCCTGGTATAGGTGTTCCAGGTCCTCAGGTATGACCCCACTCAAAGCCAATGCACGATCACAAATAAAACCCCATTGACCCAGGTTTACACCGGCATATTAGTTTGACGACTTAATGGGATATGCTAATGAGGTGACTGGGTGACCTCGGGGTCAGAACACTTTGAGCACTCAGATGGAAATACTGAGATCCTGGGTTCGAATCCAGATTTTTATCTACCTGTGATTAAACCCCTGCACCTCTGATTAGCACGGTTGGCTACGTACAGTGCAAAAGAAGTTCAACATACATACATAAACCGGGTCATTAACTATTCACGATCTGCTGTACAAAATGTGTTAAGATAACCCCAATATCACTGCAAGAAAACCCCAACGTAGAATATAAACGGATATGGGGGTGAACCCTACTCATCAGCCGATCCCTTTCACTCCCTCAATTACAAGTAAAATAACAACACAAGTCTTTCGCAAAGTTAAAAGGGGACTTCTGTGCGATTCCACCATGAGGATTTAGACTGGCTGTTTGTGCACATAAAACGGGGTGAATATTGTAGGTGGAAGGTTTTTATTTTTTGTTATTTGTGCTCACGTTAAATGCGCCATTTAATGGATTTATTGTTTCTGCATTATTTCAAAATAAACGCAATTTGCATTCCACACGTTTTGGCACCGAAAAAATGACTTATAAGAATGTATAGGTAAAGTTTGAATCATTATCAAATGCCATTCTGCACATACTTGTATGGGAAATGTACACGTGTGTAAACAACTATAGAACTCAATACATTCGTCGATAACACCGTGGCCTTCAAATGATTTGTGTTTTTTATATACAATGGCCCTTCTTCATAGAACTGGCCACCCGTTCGTTCCCCACAATTTTCTGGGCCACCACCGTCTCGCCGCCGGGAGCGGTGTTTGTCTTCCCTGATTGCTCTCCCGTTACGGTGCTAAATGCCTCAATGACAGTCGATTGTTGATCGTTTCAAGGGACCTCAGGGGACCGCTGGCGAGAGAGGGCCTCAGGTAACCGTTGCTGCTTCATCGCCGTCATCTTTACTTTGTATAACATTGCATATACGTGTGTGTGTCAGGTAACAATCTGTTAAGGCTATACAGGAGATATTTGTATTGGTGTATCAGTTAACAGTTTGTTAAGGCTGTATGGGGGATCTTTGTATTTATGGATCAGTTAACAGTCTGTTATGGCTATACGGGAGATCTTTGTCTTTGTGTATCAGTTAACAGTCTGTTAAGGTTATACGGGAGATCTTTGTCTTTGTGTATCAGTTAACAGTCTGTTAAGGTTATACAGGAGATATTTGTATTCATGGATCAGTTAACAGTCTGTTAAGGCTATATGGGGGATCTTTATCTTTGTGTGTGTATGTTGAACTTCTGTCGCACCGTACGTAGCCAACCATGCTAATCAGAAGTGCGGGGGAAGGACAGCTTGTGTACATTGTTAAGTAGTTTGGGTCACTAGTAACCTGTTTTGTTGGCCTAGGGTCCAAAAGGAGCTCCTGGATTTCCAGGCCTTCAAGGAATCCCTGGAAAAGATGTGAGTAGATGACACCGTAATTACTTATCATCACCATCGCCACCATAATCATCACCATCATAATCACGATTACTGTCATCAGTTTAACGACGTCATGGTGATCATGACCATCGTTCCTATAATTATATCATCACCATAATTTTTTACACCATCATCATCACTTGCATCAATTGTATCATCCTCATCATGCCCATAACACTCATATCTGGTACACAATTTCCTTGAGATATGTTTGTATTTGTGACTTGTAATCTCACGTCTTCCCAGGGAGTCCCTGGGAAGGATGGACGACCAGGAATCGAGGGCCCCCCTGGCAAGCCGGTAAGTGTCCCGTAGTCTGGTGTCAAGTCTTCTTGGTTCTTTCGGTAAAGTCACGTAGAAGGGAAGTAATACAATAATAAAAATAAAACAAAATAAAATAATAAATTTTATTATGTTTTATTTTTATTATCACGTAGAAGGGAAGTAATAAAATAATAAAAATAAAAGGGAAGTAATAAAAAAATAAAAATAAAACATAATAAAATTTATTATTTTTATTACTTCCCTTCTACGTGAATCCCTGCAGTCACGAAAGCTTTAAATCGAAATGGTGTCAAGTCTGTTCACGAAATTAGGGGGGGGGGGGATATTCATCAACAAAGTGTTTGTTTCATTTTCGTCAACAATTACTACGAGTGGAACAATGTGGACTTCCGGAATAAACGTCTCATTCGAGACGCACACATCGCACCCCGACTGACTCTGACGTTCCCGCTCGAAGGCATCGGTGGCGTAACCATCAGCCGCATCGTCAGAACGCCAACAGGCCATGCGCGCATCTCCTTCGTAAATGTAAAAGTAAAGACACAAGCCACAGGAGTGCGGCTATGGACGATTAATCCTTAGCGATGTGGCCCTTAACGGCGGAACGTGTGCTCTTTCATTTCCCAGGCGCCCCTGCCTTTGATCTCGCAAGGGGAGATGGGAAACCTGCTCAAGGTACGACTCAGCAGCCTCGCTGTTCTCTAGCGTAGCGGTTCCCAACCTTTTCCTTGTCGTGTACCCCCTACCAGCCCTGTCCCCCCTAGCCCTACCGGCAAATACTTTTATATATAAGGTAGGAGAGCATGGGGAGGGAAGCAGAGTGAGATTGAGAGGGCAGAGAGTGCGTGGAAGGGAGTAGATTGAGAAGAGAGTGGAGAGGTAGGAGAGTGCGTGGAGGGGACAAGAGTGAGATGAGAGGTGAGGGGTCGCAGAGTGCGTGGAGGGGAGTAGAATGAGATGGGAGTAAGGAGTGCATGCAGGGGACTAGAGTGAGATGAAAGAGGAGAGGTAGGCAGGCACGAGTCCATAGATCAGGGGTGGGGAACGTCCGGCCTGCGGGCCGTATGAGGCCCGCGAAATCATTTGGTCTGGCCTTGCCAAGGCACCCGCAGGCGGGACTCGAAATTCAATAAATTTAGGAGCAATCCTGGAAAAGCAGTTGCGAGTAGCAACATCAATACCAGCTAACATCACACTCCTCACCAAAGAGAAGCAGTTCCAGCAATCATATTATGGGTGAGTTGATTAAATGTTTGACCAAATATAAGAGGCTAATTTTAAAGTTGATACTTTTGTATGGCCCGCGAATGATGTTATAAATATCCAAATGGCCCTTGGCAGAAAAAAGGTTCCCCACCCCTGCCATAGATGTCTTGAAGTTATTATTACAAAACCTTTAGCAATATCAAGGTGTGGTGTCATCAACCGCATTGACCGTGGTGACCTCTTGACCTTAATCTTTCTTTGTCCGCTACTGCGGTTGGATGCGATGACGTAGTGGTGCCGCGTTTTCTCTGCTTGCAGAACGTGTGCAGCAGTTGCCTGACAGGAGCCCAGGGCTCCCCAGGTCTCCCAGGGCTCAAAGGAGACAAGGGCTACACGGGGAGTCCTGGGGAGGACGGACGAGACGGGGAGAAGGTGGCGACTCTCTCTTACCCCACAGCGCTCACTCACAGTCACACTCTGTAGCGCTGCGTTCGCTACGGTCACATTCACCCTTTCCCATTCTGAGACGTCTTTCAAGTTTGCAGGGTGGGGGTCCCGTTCACCGCTGATTCTGGGAACGCGCATGCGGTCCAGCTTTAATTTTATTTAGAGATGCGTATTGATAACTGTAGCGACACAAATTAAGAATGCGTATTGCCGTTGTTTTTAAAGACTTACTCACCACGGATAACTGTAGCGACACAACCGCACTCTATAATAGCTGGCGCCAAACTGTACCACACGCTTTCCTGCATGGCCTTGTGGGAGCCTCGGTACCAAAAAAGTTATTTTCTTTTATTATTATTATTAGTCGGATGACGTACACGTACATACGCGTACATCATCGACAATGTTGCCTGAGGCCTCCGGGTGGCTCAAGAGGTGAGAGCGCTGTTACACGGCCCAGCGGCATCACGTTCAATGCTCGTTGCAGAGCTTCACCGTACAAACCCAGCCACTGCCCTGGTCGCCAGGTCCATAGCACAGTATGCTAACCGCTACACTATCGCTCCCGCAGCACACACGCGCACACACACGTGCGCACGCATTTAATGCCCAAACGCTTCGTTTACATGCGATCGTTACGTTGTTCACATCGACGGCCAAACGTAACCTGTCTTCGTGGACATTTGTGTCTCTAGGGAGATGCTGGTTCTCAAGGTTCTGCCGGAGCCCCCGGAGTGGATGGCATGAAGGTGAGGGTCAAGGTGGTGATCAGAATCGCAGTCTACGGGAACCTTTTTGCCAGTATGACAATTATGAAAAATAAGAATATGTTTTTCCCTTTCTGGCCATAACACAGGTGTTAAGATGTTCAAACACCAACTCGGTACCTTTTGCACGACATCAAGTCTAGGCCAATGAGTTTTTTCCGCCTGTTGAAGACCGCTTGTGTTGCGATCGAAGCGTCGTGGGTTTTTTGCGTTTATTATTTTCAATTTTTATTTTATTATTTTAATTTTATTTTCTATCTACATGACTTTACCGAAATAACCAAGAATATACATATATTAAATATCAGAGCACGTTTGTTTGCATGTTTTGACACAAGTACGTGTGGTTCATGCAGACTTGATGCTTTGCAAAAGGTATCTATTTGATGTTTTAACATGTTAACACCTGGTTTATTTCCAGAAAGAGGAAAACTTTTCCTATATTTCATATAATCACACTCGTCTTCTAAATCAGCATCCACATTGTAGTCTTCATCACCGTCATCGTCCGTTAGTAAATATATCTTCAATATCATCATTATTTTTGGTATTATAGTCATTTGATTTGAAGCTTTCGTGACTGCAGGAATTACTCTTTGGTTCTTTCGGTAAAGTCACATAGAAAGAAAATAAATTAAAACAAATTATTTAATTGATTTTCTTTCTACGTGACTTTAAGAAAATAAATTATTTTATTTATTTTATTTCTACGTGACTTTAAGAAACTAATTTATTTAATTTATTTTCTTTCAACGTAACTTTAAGAAAATTTCTTATTTATATAATTTTCTTTCTACGTGCCTTTAAGAAAATAAATTACTTAATTTATTTTATTTCTTCGTGACTTTAAGAAAAGTAATTACTTAATTTATTTTCTATCTACGTGACTTTAAGAAATAAATTATTAAATTTATTTTCTTTCTACGTGACTTTAACAATATGAATTATTTAATTTATTTTCTTTCTACGTGGCTTTAAGAAAATAAATGATTTAATTTATTTTCTTTTGACTTTAAGAAAACTAATTATTTAATAAATTTCCTTTCTACGTGACTTTAAGAAAATAAATTATTTAATTTATTTTCTTTCTACGTGACTTCACCGAAAGAACCAAGGAGTATTGTAATCATTGTCATTCAATACATCTCTGGCCACCGCGAGAAGGCTTATGTCTCCCACCCGTGGCCAGGAAACCTCGACATTGGCATTTAGCTTTTGAGCACGTGGCCACGATCAATAAGAGATTAGAACCACCACCACCTCCACCACCAGCATATCGTGTTGAAGCACCTTTAATATCAACACTTAATACAAATAGCATAGTAGTGAGAATTGATTTGTCTAATATCATTTTTTGGTGCATAGTGGGTCTCACGCCAAGCTATGATCCCGGTCACCCGAGTTCAAATTCCGGTCACGGCTAACATCAGTGGCTTGCGATGATTTCATCTGGTCCTGGACTCCTGCCATTTCACCAATGTGTACCGACCAGCGTGGTGAAGTATGGTCAAACAACCCCCATGACTGACACGGCATGGGGAGGCCTTTATCCAGCAGTGGATTGACCAAGGGCTGTAAATCATTATGATTAATTGTATAATTGTTTTATAATTTCAGGGCAGCAAAGGAGAGAGGGGGTTGACAGGCCCTGCGGGTGACAAAGGGGAAAGGGTGAGTTTTATTTCAACAAAACAATTGTGTATTTCGCTTCTCATCATTTGTACAGTTTGGATAATCGTGCCAGGAAGTGTAGTATAATTTAATTTTTCCATTTCTTGTGCTTTTATTTTCTTTCAAAAGCATTGAAATGGAGCGGGCGGCTTTTAATATACATGTTTCACAGAGAGGTTCTATATTTAAAGTGGCACTTACATACAAGCGTATCTTACCCAGCATACATGATCCTTTGTAATCATGGGAAAGTTTGAAGTTTTACAAATGGTAACGACTGTGCACGTGTGTGCATGTGTGCGTTTATCTGAACGTGTGCGTTGGCGCGTATGTACACGAGTTGTTGTGTCTGTACCTGTGCGCATGTATGATTGTGCGTACTTGTGTGCGTTCATGCGCGTTTATGTGCGTGTGCACGCGGGCGTATATGCGTTTCGGCTTGGTTACGCGCGTGCATTTGTGTGCGCGTGTGCCCTGGGTGTGTTTGTGCTTGTGTATATGCGTGCGCGTCTGTGCGATTGTGAGTATGTGTTTTTTTGCGCGTGTATTTGTTTGCGCGTGCGCGTGTGTCTGCATGCGTCCTGTGTGTGAAGGGTCTCCCAGGGTTACCTGGGTACTTTCCTGAGCCCAGCGTCATCGGTTCTCAAGTGAGTAAACATATCAAACACAACTTTAGGGCCTTGGGCTGTGGCTGTCCTTGTATAAGAGCTGTTCGCTCAATGGTCCTTGACGTCTTTGTCTGAGTCTGAACTCTTTTTCATTTAACCATTACGTTTTTGCCCGCAAAGAAGCGGGCAAAAGGACATCCTCTAAATTCTAAACCGGTTGCTCAATTATCTCCTTATTTGTTGGTAAGAAATATATAAAGTAATAATTTCCCAAACATTTTTCGATTTAAAGCTTTCGTGACTGCAGGGATTCATCTTCTTGGTTCTTTCGGTGACTTTCCCAAACATGTTTCTGAGTGCTGGCTTCATGACCTCGATAACATGAATGTGGATCTATGCATGCCGTTGTCAACATGACCAATCCAAGTGACAGTGAATGTTATTCTGGCTCCAACTGTTGTACGTATGTTGAACTTCTTTCGTACCGTACGTAGCCAACCGTACCAATTGCAGGTGTGGGGGAAGGACAACAAACTAAACACGAAACTCAATTTCTCAAGAAATTAGTTTTCAAGCTATATTTCAAAGTGCATAGCCTCCAGTGGCTTCCTAATATGGGAAGGAAGAGCATTCCAGGTGGCCGCACAAGTGTATCTGAAAGCGCGCGATGCAGTGACCATATTCGTTGCTGATTCTGAGCATTTTTTTTTCAATACGCTTGTTGTTTACATAGGAAAGCCTCACGGAGTCTCAAGACTCTTTGTCAGGAGGGTCCTGCCATTGACCGAAGTAGCTGCAGCTTATTATACATGTTTTTTTCATATTCAGTGATCTAATAATTACTGTTAGGGATAAGTATAGTGTTACAATGGGACGGAGCGGTGGCATAGTGGATAGCGCACTGCCCCGTGAACCAGAACCTGAGTTAGTTTCACAGCCATGGTTAACATCCGTGGCATGCGATATCTAAATCAGTCCTGTGCTCCCCATCCTAGCCTTACAGCACTGCCTAGCTTGTTGAATCATGGCCAAACAGCTCCCATAACCGACACAGCATGTGGAGGCCCGTCACCCAGCAGTGGATTGGTAGACCCATGTATCATAATAATCATCATAAAACATTGTAATGGCTGCTTGTCTCTACCTGCAGGGAATGCTTGGAGAAGTCGGCTCCCCAGGATTAATAGGACCACCCGGCATAAAGGTGAGACATTACGCGGCCCGGTCTGTCCGGTAAAATATGTACAATTACATTTTTAAAATAAATATTGACGTGACGGTTGCTTCCAATGAAAAAGAGGCTGCTCAGGGCAGAAGCTAGCGAGGCCTAAAACGCATGGCGCCGCTTGCTGCTCCGGATTGTACCGCTGAAGGAAGAACGGAATAGTGTCTTTCGCGGAGTGAAAAGGCTCATTTATTCCGTGCCGAACCACGAGAAAAAACCCAGGCTGCGTTTTGTTACTCGAGTGGCGCGGAGAGATCCGCGGCTGGCAAGCGAGGAGTATTTGTTTAGTTTGAGTGCACGCTAAAGCACTGCAGGGAGTGTAACTTCATTCAACAAAGCGGCCACCATTTTTGCAAGTAACTGCCAAAGTAGATTTTTGTACTTAGAGCATAGATGTAAATGCACTCAATATTAAGGCTAAACAGTGGATCTCTGCCCTTATCTGTGCCTGTCTCTGTTTGTGTGCGATTTCACCGAATTATTTGACTATGGGGGTTGGGCCTTGTCTAGGGAGAACCAGGAGAGGCTGGGCTTCCTGGTCCTATGGGCCTGCCAGGACCACCTGTGAGTCTTTAATGCCGCTTCCGTTATCTTAATTCACACACACTAATGCTTAATTTCCTTCTTGTGATAGCTGCCACTTATCGCTTTCCCTGGCAGACTGAGCAGCGAGCTTTTGTATAACAGTGTAGTTGGCCTTATCCACGTTCTGCCAGACATTTTATAAAAGGTGGGACTACCCAAACTTGCCCCACCACCACATGCGACCTGGCAATCAACTCACCTTGGAGAAAGAACCGGCGGTGTCTGGATATTTTGGGTAATGTCACAAAAAGGTTCACAGGCTCATTCAAGAATGTGACTTTTACAAGCTAACAAAAAAAATCAGCAAGCAGGCATTCTTTAAAAAATCGCTCTTCACGGGGCATCGGAGGGGCAGCTACACGTTTCAGGGATCGTGTTCGGTAAGACGTCTTGCAGACATCAGCGGCATGTTCAAAGTTGTAATTGTTTCTCTGAGCAAACAGTCTTAAAAGCGTTTTCAAAGAGGGGTGCTTAAAATTTGTTTTCAATTGAGAGTGATAACAATTTCGCTCAACAACTCCAAGATATTTTTGTGAATGCTTCGTTTTCAATTCCTGTGGTTGTCTTGTTATTGTTGTTGTAGGGCCTGTCTGGGGTGGATGGAAGAAACGGCAGAGATGGACAATCTGGTGAAAAGGTTAGGCCCTCGATCCCAGACCGCAAACCGGCAATCTGACGTTGACATGTCGCTAATGTCGACGTTTGACTTCAATGAAGTGGAGCTTGTAACGTTACCGATATATCAATGGACAAATACTGATCTTTATTCTTCGATTTAAAGCTTTCGTGACTGCAGTGATTCATATTCTTGGTTCTTTCGGTAAAGTCACGTAGAAGGGAAATAATAAAAATAAAACATAATAAGATAAAATTCTCACGACGTTTCGGTCACAACGCAAGCAGCCGTCCTCAGGTGAAGAACAGGGCTGTCGGAAAGACAGCGTCCTAAGGATGTCCTAAGGACGCTGTCTTTCCGACAGCTCTGTTCTTCACCCGAGGACGGCTGCTTGCGTTGTGGCCGAAACGTCGTGAGAATTTTATCTTATTATGTTTTATTTGTATTTTTATTATTTTATTATTTCTTCTCTACGTGACTTTACCGAAAGAACCAATAATATAAATACTGATCAGTTTGCACAAATTAGCATTGAGGGTAACAGAAGTATTTTGACTTTACGTGTAATTTGTTAGCTATAAAATCAGCTCATTTGCAGTCAATCGCTCGATTATTACACCGCAGGATGGTGAGAGATGAGAGATGGCAATGTCTTGAGGAGGCCTCCATCCAGCAGTGGATTAATCATGGCTAATGATGATGATAACATTTTGTAACAATATTTTTCCTTTCACACGCTGTCCGAGAAAAATTAAGCCAAATATATTATTGCTAATTAAAAAAAAAAATTCACTTTGAAAATTGTATTGCTTTGGTGCGTTATATATGTATTGAAGCTAAAATATTTTTTTCTGGTTTTGTTTTTGTTGATCAGGGCATGAAGGGGGAGCCGGGTCTGGTGGCATTCGATGGAGTAGAGGGTCCCATGGTAATTGTGAAACATGATCCCGTTCTGTCTGGCCTCCCTACAAAACTCTCCTGTCTGCCCGCTTGTTTTTCTCGCATCTTACTTCATCACAGATGTATTACTTTCCCCATGCACTTTGATTCAGTGTTGTGGGCAGGGATATTGATATTTTTATGGGCGTAACAATATACAGTAAAACCTTGGATTGCGAGTAACTTGGTCTGGGAGTGTTTTACAAGACGAGCAAAAATTAGAAGTAAATATTAATTTGATAAACGAGCGAGGTCTTGCAATACGAGTAGTACGTGTATACGCTTTGTCGGCCGAGCGTCACGTGATCACAACTGATATACGAGTGCTTTGATATACGAGTGCTTTGGATTATAAACACGTTTCCAGAACGAATTATGCTCACAATCTAAGGTTTTACTGTATTGATTAATTGGTAATTCCGACGCGGGAATTAGCCGCTTTCAGCTTGCGTAGAATGCAACCGGGCTGCTCTTACTGACCTTTGAACTACGCACGGCAGGCGGATATTTTGTTCACAAAGGGAAAAGAAAAGAGTCGCCCCTGTCTGTCGTGAATGTGGTGAAGTGCGGTCTGTCCATCACGTACTCCACCACTGCCCTTTACACACTTACACAAGAGGTACGGATGCGATGCATCAAGCTACTTCTGAATGCATTAACAAACCTAAGACACGTTTTATCAGTTTGTTTTCATATGCCGCATGAAAGTAGAAAAATATTGATTAATATCATTGCTTTTGCGCATCAAATCACGTTTAAGAAGTTATCTCTTTCTATTGACGTCACTGACATGCTCATGTTGCATTTAGGCGAATGGCGATAACAAAATTTGGTCAGACATTCATAACGCCAGTGGCAAGTACTATCGGAACCTATCCTGGGCCTCTCCAAGGTCAACTCAGCCTTAAATTAGTAATTGTATTGGTGTGTAAACATCAGCACTGGAGAAACGAAGTCAAGTAGCCATGGTGCTGGCCACACCACCCTCTCGTGCGTTGTGCCGGCCGCAATAGGTGCTTGCTAACAGTGCTTACCCCAACAGTCTATGCAGGTTAAACAGGGAATCTTTGTGTTCTGTGTGTGTGTAGGGTTTTAAAGGATTTACTGGAGAACCAGGTCCACCTGGGCCAAAGGTATATCAGCACTTGTCACATTAATTTTAATTGCAAATAATATTAATTCATTTCGGTTGTTTATGGAAGCCTCAGAACTCCTGTTCAAGAGAGGTCTGCCTCTCCTGAACAAGTGTTTGGCTTGTGGGAAGAAATCAGGCAACCACTGGTGCACTGTCATCTTCTGGGCACCTTGCAGCCCAAGACGATAATGCCTGATGTTCCCAGGCAGCCTTACATCCACTACGAACGAAAGTCAACATTTTGCTTTGCTCCAGAGATCTGACGGGATCCACCACGTTCAGTGTAAATTTTGTCGCAATGTATCGACCAGCGGGAAAAGTAACTGGGCTTGGGCAGGGCAAGTCCCTTAGAAGGGACGATAGCCGGTGGTCGAGACTGAGCACGGAGCGGCAGCCAAAGGAGGGAAGCACGTGTCCCGTGGAGTTAGAGCAACGAACTCAAGTTTGTGCGCGGGAGATGGATGCAAATTTACATCGCAAGACAGTGGATCGATTGTGGCCCGTGATGATGATGCTGCGCGTGTGTAAGCAGTAATTACAGAACCAACACATTGCCCGTGTGCCCCAGGGTGAAGAGGGCCCGTCTGGGCTTCCCGGGAGGGATGGCATTCAGGGGATTGACGTGAGTTTCCACAATGTCCGCACTCCCACGAGCACCTATACCTGTGCAAATGAAACGTTCAGCCTCATTGGGCCCCTACCTGGTCAGACAAAGGAAACTGAACTGACTTTAACATCTTTCTGCGCATTTATAGCCACGGTAATGCGTTGCCTAGGCTATAAACTCATTTATCTTTTAATCATTATTTTTGACACTGCACGTAATTTCTTGTTAATTCTTGGACTTTATTTCCCAGGGGAGCCCAGGTCTCCCTGGGCTACAGGGACCCCCGGGGCCCATCGGAGAACCGGTGAGTGCAGTACAGTACAACACAACAGCAGCCACCCTGTAAAATACCACCGGCGTCCCGCCCCACGCAAGCATGTATACACACATAGTTGGTAGTGGCGCCGGATGTGGTGGCCGCGATGTTGTGCCACTCGTGTAATTGGGGGCGTAGTGATGCACCCATCGACTAGAAGTTGACACTTACCTCTCACGGCACACTGGGGGGGGGCGGGGCGCAAAATAGGAAGTCACCCCCTCCCCTCGTGAATATTTAGGCGGCTCTTGCACGCCATAGAACTTTCTGTCGCTTTTTTATCATCCAGATTAAAATTATTAACACATCAGAAATTATCGTACGAAGTTATCAGTACTAATTTGCTTCCAGATAAATGTTTAGCTGGGCGCACCGCTCGATGATACGTGCGTTTCATTGCAAGCGTCAAACTTGACGATTTTAAGGTTGACGCAAATCACATCAAATTATTTGCTCACGCAGTTACACTGTTGTGGTATCAGGGCCTCCTCAACATCTATTCAGATCTTTCCCTTCAACGTTTTACCACTACCCATGCCCAATGATGCCAACCCTCCACTACTATTCAACGGGGTTATTTCAGTTCCAATATTTAAGTGTGAATCCTAATTTTAAACGAACAAAACTAGTTTAATGTTTGGCAAATGGTTGGTAGTAATGCACACGATGTTTATATGGCTTTTGTTACTAGATTACCTTTAGGATTTATCAGAGAAATGTAATATTGCGTTTCTGCTGGTATAACGTGGGATTAAGATTTTTGGGGGGGACCCTCAAAATTAAAGGCCCTGAACTACGGCCCCTGAAGGCCCTGTATTAATATGACACCGACGACCATTCCCGCTGGCTGTATGTGATGGAGCTTTCACTGTGTGCCAGTTGATCCGTTAACCTTCCCTGTGTCTTCTTTGTCTCCTCCCGCTTTCCTGCGCTAGGGTCGCCTGGGACCTCCAGGGCATCACGGCCTCCGAGGACTTCCAGGAGAAGCTGTGAGTTCTGCTCACCAGTGGCGGTGCTAGGCCCAAGCAAACCGAGCGAATGATTTGGGCTCAAAGCAACTCAAGGGGCCCTGGATTCATGACAGAAAAAATATTGGTCAACTAAATATCGTACTCTTAGTTCTTTCGGTAAAGTCACGTAGGTAAAAAATGAAATTAAAATTAATAAAAAATAAAATAATAGTGATTTTTATTATTATTTTATTTATTATGTTATTTTTTATTAATTTTAATTTCATATTTTTACCTACATGACTTTACCGAAAGAACTAAGAGTATGAATCCTTGCAGTCACGAAAGCTTCAAATCTAGAACTAAATATCGGCTCGAATAAAAACAAATTAACGTATCCGTGCATTGCTAACAGTCATGCAGACCCTGTGAGCAACTATTTGCAGGTCAGTTATAATGAGATATTGGCAGGGGTTGGGATGGATCAGTGGTCATATTAATTGATGTCTTAATGAAATATGTAAAATGAGTGGGCTGCATGATCTAGGGGTCATAGCACTCAGGCATCTGCTTATGAATGAACATTAAGTGTAGTGAGGTGATGGTCTTAGCCCGGTTACCAATTATTGCACGAAAGAAAACTCAGATTAAATTTGGTTTTGCACTTGATTCAGTCATATGCCAGCTGTGAGGCTATACCGCTTTGACTACCGTGTGACAAACATTACGATCATATGCAGATCGCGTGGCAAAGTTCTGCCTTCTACTGTGTGGACCTGCGGTCCCTTGAAGGAATCTCAGAGGTAGCTCTGTCATATCTGCTTCCACGGGGCCTTTGCCCTTTTACACAAACGATGCCACTTCTCTGCGAGAGATCTGAGTGGATTCTTCATGTCGTGGCGTGACGCCGATAGCACAATTGGGTTAACATTGAGGGTAAATTACAAAGCTTTTTGTTACATGACGTCGGGGTAGACGCTGTTGATTGTGGTGACCTCTCTCTCTGCCTCTCTTCTCTAACCAGGGCGCGAAGGGAGACCAGGGCTCCGTGGGAGACGTTGGCTTCCCAGGATCAAGAGGACCCCCGGGGCCTATGGTGGGATGCCCATTTTAGTGCCTGATAAAATTGCCCCATAATTATGGTATCGCAATCAAAGGCTGTGTACGCAGTCTGCATTTCTATTAGTTCGCCGCTAAAGAAATAAACTGTGGGGAGAAGTCGGGGGATCGGGGAAGTGGGCGATGTGTGGGGGGAGGCGAGGGCGGGCAGTGACTATTCTTTCAAAGTAAAACGTGTTTAATCTGCGTGTCTCGCTCTCTCTTTTAAGGGACCTGTGGGGAGAGCTGGGGAGCCGGGTAGAGAGGTGAGTGTGAACGCGGGAGATTGAAAGCGAGGTGGGAATAAGCAGAGTGTTGTCGTTTGTAATGAAACCGTAAGCGACGCGATGGTGTGAAACCTGTAAACCTGTAATATGGTTACAGGTTTACAGGTTTCATAGCATCACTCAGAAGTTCAACATACATACATCTGGCGTATAGAGAAACACGGCTCGGCTTCCACGCTTGGCTATCCATCGAAGAAAGATGGTCACCGCATTGCCCGCTTTCATGTGCCCTTCTGCGGCCGTCTGGAATGCTCTTCCGATTTTAGGAAGCCACTGGAGCTATGCATTTTTAAGTCTAGATTTAAAATGTATTTGTTTAGAATTGCTTTTTGTATTTAGTTTGTTGTTCTTCCCCCACACCTCCGATTAGTACGATGGGCTACGTACGGTGCGAAAGAAGTTCAACATAGATACATACATGCGGTAGTGAATGCCCCGTAATCCAGCACTTTGGAGGAAAGGGTGCTGTGAGGTGGCTAGGAGATGGCAGTACAGCAAGTGTGTCCGAAAACCCATTTGTGTGGAACTTTGAGTGTTATCCTTTTTTTTCATGTTCTCCGGTTTTGTTCGATGTAAAATATACTCATGAGTAAAGTTGGACAAATATCCCAGTAATGGATCATTCTGAAAAAGATTCTTGAGGTTTAGCGAGTCTTTCATGGATAAATAAATTATTGTCTTTTTTTATTATAAGAGAATCTCTATTTTTTTATACAGAAAAGGCCCCCATTGTTTAGATGGAGAGCTCTTGCCAATAACATCTGGTAACCCAACAGTATTTATTTTAACAAGCCTGATGAGACTCAGAAAGCCAAAAGCTGTTCATAGATTTGCTTACTGAAATACATGCTGCAGCTGGATAATACTGATCTGAAATCCAATTGGCCCATGACTAAGATATACTTTTACGTGGTAGATACAGAACGGATTTCCACTTACGTACGCATTTTCTTGTTACAGGGCCAGCCTGGGGGGAAGGGAGACCGTGGGCAGAAGGGAGAACGCGTGAGTGTTTATACATCCACTCGGCACCAGCAATAACGTCTTCAAGATAAAACATTCAACGATGGCAGCATTTCAGAACACTTGGACGACTAAAGCAATGATGCATTTTGTATTAGGTCCGTGTGGAAAGTGCGCAAAGAAGCATTTTGTAGAGAAAACGGTTGCTTGGCAGTGATCTGACGCTATCCTTTGTCCATCTATATAAGGTGTCGTTGGCAACGTGCGTTATAAGCAATGTATATCGAACAAGTTAGAATGATTGTAAGACTTACGGCAAGCTTACGATTAATGGAATGCTGTTGAAGAAGTTCAGCAAAGCATGAAAACAAAACAATACCGATTAGTAACACTATTACAAAAGTGATGCGAAATTGATCGCGGTAATCGTCATGATATCACGGCAACGTGTCGGAACATCAGGCGGAGTAGAACAACACCAAGAAGGAGTGGATACTTTCGCCATAAACGGATGTTCAAGTACTCACCAAACTGTGACATTGTGTTGAGGTGCAAACCATCAGGCGCGTATCACTGGTGACTACCCAATACAACGAGCATATCGTGGTGGAACGAGTGGACTTCTCCACTCGGCTACCACCGCGGATGCCGTGGGATGACTCACAACATAAAAAATGCAATTGTAGCCCTGTTGCTTTATTAAAACTAAAACACTCCCCTCCCCACTCCACCCTCCTTCCACCAAAAGACAAGAACATGGATACATTGCTTCATTTTTATTAAATTGTACAAATGTATTGTCGATTAAATCAAGTGTCAAAGCCACTCATTCGTGTAATCGATTGCTCTCTGTGTCCCATATTGGGGGCCTTCTCTTCCAGGGGGAGCCCGGGATTCAGGGCGACCAGGGCCTACAGGGAGACAAGGGCCGATCTGGCGAGCCGGGGCCCCCAGGGGTGAAGGGCATCACCGGACCGATGGGGCCGTACGGCATCCCCGGCGAGAGGGGCTCACCCGGCCTGCCGGGGCTGATGGGGCCCATCGGGCCGCATGGACCCAAGGTGAAGCCTCTTTGTTTTCTTACTCATTTTGAATATACGTGAATTTTTATTTATTTTCTTGGTTCTTTCGGTAAAGTCACGTAGAATGGAAATAATAAAATAATAAAAATAGAACATAATGAAAAAATTCTCACGACGTTTCGGCCACAACGCAAGCAGCCATCCTCAGGTGGAGAACAGGTCTGTCGAGAACACATTTATATTCAGACTCTGTCTTCTCGACAGACCTGTTCTCCACCTGAGGACGGCTGCTTGCGTTGTGGCCGAAACGTCGTGAGAATTATTTTATTATGTTTTATTTTTATTATTTTATTATTTCCATTCTACGTGACTTTACCGAAAGAACCAAGAAGATGAATCCCTGCAAGTCACGAAAGCTTTAAATCGAAATTATTATTTATTATTTCATAATAACCCAACCGGTCATCGATATTCATTTTTTTATTTGCATGCATCATCCCCCTCTCTGGCCTTAGCACCTGATTGCCTGACAAGTGAAGACATCACATCTATCCCTCTATTTAACACCGAAGCAGGAGGATTTCTCCACAACTCTGGCTGTCCACCTGATGATGCTGGTTGTAATTTACTGGCGAAACGTCACTGTACTCGAATCGTAAATGTTGTGGGTTTACTCTCCAACGCACCGGTGTGCTGAACTAGTAACGAATTTAGATGTTTTGTTTTCGGGACAAACCTTACTAATTGGCTGTATCGGGTGGTGGCAGGTTTAACAACACATTCATATTCACGCGATCGAACCCACAAACTTCTATTATAGATTATGTATACTTTCATCGTATTGCTTCCTCCTCCTGCCGTTTTCCTTGTTTGTTGGCGTGCGGTTTACGTGGTTTATGTGTGTGGCAGCCAGGTGGGGTTCCAACCACACCACCACCTTCCTGTACTGTGCCGACCTTAATAGGTGTTTGCTCACAGCATTTGCTTCGACGGCCTCTGTAGGCTATGTGGAGGATTTAGCCTCTTGTGGGTGTGGCTGTGGGGAGTGGTGGCAGGGTAGTTAGTAGTAATTTAAGTTAAATTCGTGGCCATGGCTAAAATCTGTGGCAAGTGACATCTGAACCGGTCCTGGGCCTAATCTTGGTCTACTCGAGTTTCAATGAGTACCCGGTGCAGTGTGTGTGTGGTGTGAATATCATCACTTGGGAGACAAATGCAGCCGTGCATGGTACTGGCCTATATATGTGCTCACAGCACACTAATTTGGTCTCTCAGGCTTAAATGGATATCGACGTCGTCTCAGCATGTTGGAGGAGAGCGGTGGCATAGTGGTCACTGCACCATCCTACAATCCCATAAACCCAAGTATATTTTCCAACCACCCACAATGCCAGTGGAAACTGGCATTTAAACATGACTTGGGACTCTCCTAGATAAGCTCAGCCTTAAAAACGAGAAGCTGGTTTGGTGTGTTAACACCAACCTTTCCTTTTTCAGTACGACGTCACACATGCGACTCTAAAACTATCAACTAAACTATTTTTTATTTTACCAGGTAAGGCTCACTGAGCTGTATAACTCTTGTGGGCCTTACTTGGTAAAATATAGCTCTGTTTCAGAAGCAACCTGGCTATCACAAATGATAGCTCAACAAAGTGGCTTATCATGTGAAAATGTATAGCCAAATAATCTAAACGCACATTGATTTTGAATTTGAAAGGAAAAACCGAAGGACCCAGAGGAAAATCTACGAGACCACGGTTAGAACACGCAAAATCCAAATATACAGCAGCAGGCGTCAGCTTCGGGATCGAACCCACGAACTCCTGTATACCAGGCGAGGGAGTCAACATCTCACCTGAGACTGAGGTACAGGCAGATATGTGAAAAGATGAGATATGTGAACACCTGTATAAAATAACAGTTACACCACGCCAAAATGCAGCACTGCATTCGGGCGTGTGTGGTTAATTGGTCTGGGCGGATGTGTGATGGTCAGATAACCAGAATTGTACTATTCCTCCAAAATGATCATTGCATGGCCGAGGCTATCGTTACGTGAATGTACTCGCTGTCTCTCTTGTTTTACATTTTGAATATTTCACCAGGGCGACGCTTTTCCCCTTGACGAGATGAAGCGTCTGATAAGAGAAGAGGTCACTAGGATATTAGAAGGTACGTAGAGAAGTGGCGTATAATTTTTTTTACTGCTTATTCTTGAATCGAATCTCTACGCCGTATCATCGTAGTTAATCGAATCACTGGGAGGGAGGGAATCATTGCATGCCTACTGTGTGCGCCGATCTCTGTTTCTGGCTACTTCGTGAAAATCTGGCCTATGCTCCACAACTTGTGAATAAAAAAAACCTTTAACAATCAATTAATGGGCAGGAGCCTCCATCAAAAGTATTGCAACTGTGATGCTTGACCAGAGAAATAAAGGGCTGTTCATGTGATCAGCACTTTGAAGATTTTGTTGCATCTTCTTTGCCAGTGTCCTTGTAAGAAATATGCACCGATTGAAATTTTGCAAAGGCACCTGAAGAGGTGCATGCTTGTAATTACCCCGATAAACCAAAAGGGTAACACACACACGCATCATACTGCAAAAGCGAGTTGTAATGTTAGAAAAAGTAAGTGGCCTTGGGCAGGACACGGTGCTAAATGAGATGACGGCCGGTGGTCGAGACTGACAATGGAGTGGCAGCCAAAGGAGGCAACCCACCCGAGAGGAACTGAAGAGATGGGATCAGCTGCTTGTGCGAGAACGAGGTGGATTATCACGTGACCATGAGCAATGGCGACGGCTTGGAGAGGCCTTCTTCATCTTGCAGTCGTTAGATTACAGCTGACAATGATGATAGTTCACGATCATATTGACTGAACCTGATGTTGAATGTCATGCGTCCCTACACCTGATCGCCTGGTTTAATCATGTGCCCCTGTTCTACCGTGCGCTCGTGATGCTGCCACTGCTGCTGCAGATCGACTCACGAGGGTGATGGCACACATCCAGTCGCCTGCAGCCATCGTCACATCCCCGGGGAGACCAGGGCCTCCTGGCCCACCGGGAAGGGATGGCACGCCCGGTCGACCTGGCATGCTCGGGGAACCAGGTCCACAGGGATTAATGGGGTCCCAGGGCTCTCCCGGCATACAGGGTCCTCAAGGTAGGTGTCGTCCCCTCCGCAATACCGATGATTCCTATTGAGTGATGTTACCAACGTGCCTTGCTCTTCGACGTTTGCTTTCGGGCTGCACCTGGTGTTGTTCGGCACGATGTCCGACGTTTCGCTCCCCGTGCTGGGAGGAATTGAAGAAGTGCACTGCGAGTTCCTTTAGAATCTGAAGAAGCTGCCAGCACATGCACCAAACAACCCAATACAGGACCCCACCCACCCCTCCCCCCACGATTTCATGAGGCCTTCATAAGTAAATAGCATTGTTGTGATAGCACTAATATTTCAGAGGCAATATTAAGCAATAAATGACAATTTTCCGACAAATTTCACAACTATATGTCAGTGCCATTTAATTGCTGGAAAAATGTTGTTATAACACTTCTATCATGACTTAATAGCAATATCGAGGTTCTACAATATCACGATTAGTTCATTAATGTATCCTGGCTTAACATTGAAATAACCGAGGTAGAAATGCCATCGTTGGCACGCAGTGTTTGACTTTTACCCCCTGCCCAAAGTGAGACCTGCAAACGGCACTCTCGCCCCCCCCCCCCCCCCCCCGGGCACGTGCTGTGTGCTGGCGATCGCAGGCGATAGGGGCCCCAAGGGTCAACGAGGAGACCCTGGAATCGCGATCAAAGGGGAACGCGGAGTTCCAGGACAACCAGGTGCGATAGACGCGATTTTACTCAGCGAGTCAATTGTGAATTTGTGTAAAATGTATATAATAATAATGATGATGATGAATAATGTACCTCCCTTTGTCAATCCGCTGCTGGATGAAGGCCTCCTTCCGTAAGCCGTGTTAGTCATGGGGGGTTGTTTGACCATACTTCACACTGGTCAGTGAGGGTTGGTGAAGAAGGTTGGCTCAAGACCAGTTCCCATTACCAGCGTGTTCAAGTATGATTTAAAAAATTCTCACGACTTACAGAGCGTGCGGGGTATTCATTCAGCAATTGATTGACAAATAGATGTTAATAATGATACAAACAGAGACCACCAGAGTGTACCTTTTAGGGGCATAATAATGTATTGATTCAGCAATATCGATTCTTAAGCTCACCATACATGCGATACATGCACAGATTGTGTGTGTGCACAAAAATAAATGTAATTTTGCAAAATTACGTGCTTTCTCTGCAGGCACACCGGGCAGCCCCGGGCAGGCCAAGGATGGCAGCCCAGGCCCCGCAGGGCCTCCAGGCAGGTTCGGCATAGCGGGGATGCCAGGGCCGCAGGGGCCTCCAGGCCGGGCCGGCCGCTGTGACCCGACGACGTGCCAGCAAGCGGCCCTGCTTGCGTACCGTGACCGGCGAGACGCGGATAGGCCCTGACGGGAGACGAGGAGGCGAGATCCGCAGAGATGTTGGGCACGGGAGGGGGGGAGTTGATGCGAAATCACGTAAGGGTTGCCCCCTCTGATCATGACAAATCGCGGTGTTGTCATGGCCAAGGCCTTTGATGCCACCAAACCTCGCCAACCCTTTCTACTCTCACGAGCAGATTCCGCGGCTGCTGCACAGTAGGCGCGCGACAACCGAGACGACCTGCCCTAACAGCATCCCACCCCTCCCATCATCTGCTCTGAGGTCTTCTCCTTGTTTGCCAGACTCGTGGAAACCATTTCAATGCCTTCCACCTCTTAGGTACCATAAAAAAAACCGGACACATCATGGGAATAATAATAATATCTCTCAATACTGTAAGAGGGGAGGCCTACCTGTAATTGTATTATCTTCGGTGGTGTGTTGTTATATTATTACGCAAATAACGTCATGGAAGGACTATGTGATTTGGCAGGAGATCTACCTCAATAAGAGCACGATCCTGGATAAACCAGGGCAGGTGGCAACCCTAATGTTGCGGCCTAGCGGTGGAGGATGTTTACGATCCCACGCTGTGGCTGCTCCACGCCCTGAATGATCGCCGCGTGAGGACACTTTACGTTCGGGCAAAAAAATTGGCGACCGTTTGTTGCTTTCGCGTAAAACTGCAGGGATTTAGCGTTTGCAGTGACGGATAGGCGCGGGATGAGAATGCTTTACAGTCATCGTCGTTGATAGCACGGCCATGAACATAATATTATTGCGAGACGTACTTCTCCCCATCGTACGTTGACGTTGAATCCAGTTGAGAACAGTCTTATGAAATCGGTGAAGAGGAGCTTTATTGGTCAGAATTTTATCAATATATTGGCAACGTATAAATAATATCTGTTTAAGCCTGACAATTTTGGCAGGTGCTGGAGGGTTAATTACGAGAATTTTGGCGTAAAACTGCCACTTGATCTCACGCAAAACAAAAAATGGATCATAAAATACCAAATTTTCCTGATTTATAAGATGTTCCAAAAAGTAAGACGCACCCCAAAATTGTGCCCGGTGTCAATAAAGTTATACAAATCTGGGCATACACGCACCTACTGGATTATAAGACGCAACCAACTACTTTAGCTTTATAATACAGGGGGTAAAGGTGCGTCTTTTAATCTGGAGAGTACGTTTGTACAAGATAATGTAACATTTTGGGCATCAATACTTTGTCAGGGCGCCACGGTGGCGAGATGTTAACTACCTCGCCTGGTGTACAAGAGGTTGTGGGTTTGATCCCGACCCTGATGCCTGCTGCATATTTGGAGTTTGCATGTCTCTCTCTCCCTGCGGTCGTGTGGATTTCTCTCCGGGTCCTCTGGTTTTTTCCTCGACATTTTTGTTGAGCTTTCGTTTGTGGCAACGTCGCGTCTGCAAACAATAGCTACATATAAAAATTAAAAATAGGACAGAAAGATGTGGCATAGTTGCAAATTCTGCTGCACTCTTATTTCATCTCATTCTCTTCGTTAATTCACAATTGCATGTTTATGTTCGTACGAGATGGCCTGTTATTGGTGGCCATGGTAAAGCATTGTCAGCCTGGCGTACACTCACACTGTGCATTGGTATCACTGGCAAATTTGGACGAGGAGGAGTTTCAGGCAGTGTAAACGACAAAATAGATAAAAAATAAGATGACAATAATGCGTGTCCATTAATGCTGCCATTATTACGTGATTATACATAGACGGCAGTTCGAAATGCGTGGTTGAAATGTTGGAAGGCCCGCTCCTCCCATACCTCACATTTTTAAAACCTGAAATCTTGAATGATCTTCAGCAGCGCGTAAGATACGTGTTCGGAACAATCAGAGCCAAGATGCTGGCAAATACCCAGCCAGGACTCAAAACTCAATGTGGTGTTTGTCACCAAAGCCATGGCGGGCACATCGACGATTCACACCACCAAATACGTGTGTGTGTAGTTTTATCGAGATTGATTCCCGCTCATGTCCAACAACTCAGCGTTAAATGAGTACCTAGTTCGGTGTTTAAACATCAACTCGTCCGCCGTGCCGGCCTCAAAGGTTCTTGTGAAGAGCACTTGCCCCGACAATCTGTTCAAAGACTATATGGAGTATATACTCTTTGCTTCTTTCGGTAAAGTCACGTAGGTAGATCAATTATAGATCACAATGTTTCGATCGCAACACAAGCAATCGTCATCAGGTGGGACAGCCACAGCAAGAAAAAAACGTCGTGATCTATGATTTTTCTACCTACGTGACTTTACCGAAAGAACCAAAGAGTATGGATTCCTGCAGTCACGAAAGCTTCAAATCAAGATTATATGGAGTATCTTTGGCTTTATCTTAGTTGTTTTTTCAACTTCGCTCAAACTGCTGTCTTATTATAATTCCTTAACGATGGATGGTAATACCGATATGTATACCCTGTACATGTATTGCTTAGATTAATTTCACCCTCACTGGCCCATGCGAGTGAAGGTGGAGGGGGGGAGAAACCCGATTTCAATTTCAAAGGCTCCTGTAGTCCCCAGTTGCCCAGTGATGCCATTGTCTTTGTCGTTACCACTAGGTCTAGTGGCCACTCCTCGCAGGAGGCCATGGGGGGAAAAAACACTTGCTTTGAACCTCTCCAAACCCCTCGTTGGGACCTCCTTGTCGGCACGGACGCGCAAGATGCAGCAGGATGCTCGCACGTGGCTTCGCCGACACGAGGCAACCGCGCAAATGAAAGGGGGTTGGGTGGGTGTAAGAGAAACAAAAAAACGTGATAACCCACGCAATTTTTCTTGTCAGGAAAGTCGGACTCTTGTTCAAAGTAAAGGTGGATTAAGTGGATGAAAACAATTAATTGATAAGTTCGTTGTGCGGCCATCTGTGGGGCGATGATACGATAATAACTGTATCAAGATGATTGTTAAAGTACTCCAATGAAGCAAGCAAGCAAGGGTTGTCCTTTAAAACGAATATGTGGGTTATCCAGTTTTAGTTTTTCCCCCCCAGGACAACCATCAAATTACTTTTATTCTAAACAAAACGTTTCCCTTTTTAACCGTAAAACACAAATTAAATAAATTAAATAGTTTAGTGCCATAATTTTTATCGAAACCTTTTCAAATGTTGAAGCGCATTATCGAGGCCAGTTTAAATTAACTAAATTTTGATAAATAAATAGCTTTAGTTGCGCTTTTGAAAAAAAAAACGTTATTTTTCACACGAGTGGTTATCGTCAAACTCCGTGCACTAAGGTTTATTTTCTGCGTACAAAAAAATTACCTACGCTGATCTACTGTTTAATTTCTTAGTTATCTTAGTTATATTTTTTGGGCGGGGGGGGGGGGGGTGTACAATTACACCTCCAGCGTCACGGGATATTTGAATACTGCTGTACTGTTTAACCATCGCGTTTCAAATCACGGAAAACTAGAAATGGTTTCCAGTTTATATATATTTTTTATTGTTGTCATTGCGCTCGCGATTTGCGGTGCAGTCGTCCGGTAAAGTTTAAGTGCGATCCTTAAAGTACCTCAAATCCTGCCGGTCGGGATTATTTTTTTCCGGCCGCTCTTCTTTATTTACAGTTTTTTTTAATAACCTAATTTCCTGTTTTTCTTTTCTGCGCGCGTGTGTGTGTGTGGCGTGTGTCAGCAAAAAAGATCATATTTCTCGAAGTTAACCAAAGTGCCACCCCATCCAATGCACCCGTTTTGGGCTGTTTATTTTTAGCAGTATGTTGATTTGGATGTGATGGCACATTCCTCAAATCCAATGGGGGGGGGGGGGGGGGGCATTTTCTGTTGTCTCTTTTCCAATTTGATTCTGGTCGTTGTTGCTACTGGCATCACCGCATGAGACGAAGCAACCGTCAGGAAATCTCCCTCAATCTCAACCTCGTAATGCTCCGCTGCCGCACGGTAATCGCTCGCTCTCGAAGGGAACGACTTGAGAGGCGCGAGGAAGAACCGCAGACAAGCGGGGAAGGCTGCCGACAGGCAGTGCACCTGGCACCAAATCCCCTCCACCCCTGCAAACTTCTGCAGTCCTCTATATATCAAGGTGTTATTGGCCAATGCATCAGTGTTCACATTCTTGGAGACTCACTGAGGCCTACTTGCTTGCTGGGGTCCACCGGCTGGAGGAGGGCATCCAGGCACGATAATACATCTCTAATTGGCTGGAATTATCTCCGTAAGCGTGAAATTGATTGGAAAAGAGACCGTACCTGGCAATACAAAGGCTGCGAGTTAATTGTTTTCTTTATTGTTACATCAAATTTTTTTGTGCTTCTGATAAATAGATCACATCTTCTGGCCAGCATAGTAATTTCATATTTTCAGTAGAGTGAGTCACCACAATCTTCGATTTAAAGGTGTTTGTAGTCATTGTTTATTATGTATATATTTTTTAAATCAGTTTTTTAGCTATGGGGTTGTTTTAATTGTCATTTGTTGATTAACAATCGTACATTTTTCTGACAAAATATGCTACATGAGAAGACTTCCTTTCAAAACACATGAAATAATCATAAATTGTTACCCTTTGTCTCCACTCCTTGACAAAGGCCTTCCCTTGCTGTGACGGTTGTGGGAATTATTTCACCATACTTCACCATGCCGGTCAGTGCGTGTTCGCGAGGTGGGTCACTCGCCAGCGATGTGAGTCGTGGCTGGAAACAAGAGCTCTGGTTGCCAGGTTCGTAGTGCTATGCGCGCAACAACTGCACCACCGCTCACCTTCGAAACCCAGATAAAGCAGACCACACGGATATGTGACTTAAACATTGGGTAACATTGATAGACTCAAATCCACCTGCAGTGTTCAGTGTAAGGTCAGTGCGGGAGGTGGCATCTGTTGAGAAAGTAGCACCTTTGGTGAGAGAGTAAGTCGTGAGTGATTCCCATCAGCCCTGGTGCAAGCAAGGAAGTTGGGCCCTCTGTCAAGTTTCCCACCCCTCCCTTCATAGCCCAGAACCTGGGCCCCTCCGGCGCCCATGGGTGCAGTTGTGTACATATCCTTACTACTTTGGGTATTCAAGTATAAAATAAATAAACAGATGACTCGTACATCGATAGTATTGGGATGAGTTTCCAATATATATTGTAAGTTTGCCATGAAGCTTGCATTTTGGAAAACAGATTTTGTTTTGCTGATTTTTGGTGGCATGTTGCTCGTCCTCAATCTCTTTGGTTTTTAGGGAGAACATCTTTTAATCTCTTAATATATCGGTACAACTACAACTGAATTCGGACCAATAGGGAGATGATGATCGCTGCTCAAATTTTTAGTGTGACATTTTAGGGATGCTCCTGAGGTGTAATACACGTACTGGAACTGCAATCTAGTAGATGTCACCAATTCTATTGGTCTCCTGGCGTGGCTGGCATGATAGTTGAAATGGAAACGCCACAGTCTACATGAGCAGCAGATCACGTGCGGTGGCACAAAGTGTGGCCAGGCCGGCAGTGGTGTGAGAATATAATTGTATTGCTGCACCATCATCTTGTTTGATTGTATCACAATATAGGTGATTTTTTGAATTACATCTCTACTCTCCCACTCTCTTGTGATGAAGTGAACCCTACCCTCAGTCACCTTCGGGACACACTGCTGAAAGGCCACAGTGCAATGAGTACCAGTTAAATAATATTTTTCACTACATTTAAAGTATTTTTGTATTCTTGTTATTTGTAAATAAGCGCTATTGACCAATTGCCTGCGGCAAAAGTGCGTGTTATTCTGGTTGTGCAATTGTCTTGGCCTTTGTCAGATAGCCTTATATAACATGATACTGTACCGCCTCTCTTGCGATGTGTGTGTGTATATATCGAACATTAGTGGGGTGAGATATTTGTGAGATCCAATCTCTTAAAATGGTATTTGAATTACCTTTCTTTATTTTTTGATGTGTTGATATTTCTTTCCGGTTGGATTTCTTTATTTGTATACATTTTAAAGAGTTACACAGGGTACTTTTTTGTGATAAGATTCACATGAAGCAATTGGTGAGTGTAACTGTGCACTGTATGTTTTTACAGTGTTTGTTCTATATTTATGAACATGTGTTGTTGGAAGTGATTTTATTTGATGTGGTGCTACGAACACAAATAGACTGCACATACACATATTCTTAGGTTTTTTCGGTAAAGTAACGTAGGTAAAAAACATTAAAAAGTAAAATAAAAAAATAAAAATAAAATCACGACGTGGCTGTGACGGTACCACCTGAAGACGGAAGCTTGTGTTGCCTCCGAAACGTCGTGATTTTTATTTTATTTTACTTTTTAATGTTTTTTACCTACGTGACTTTACCGAAAAAACCTAAGAATATGAATCATTGCAGTCACGAAAGCTTCAAATCTAGAATTAATGCACATACACACACACTTACAAACAATTTCCCACATAGCCATACATAAGGCAGTCCCTCCAGAAAAACGCGGAGTTTTTTGGTGATTGTTGCGGGCAAAAATCGTTGATTATGCGGCACGTTTTCTTAAAAAATGCGATGGAATATGCGGGATATTTATGCAATTTTATGCGATTAAATTGCGGGAACTTGCAAAAACTGCGGTTTGATGAAAAAGAGAAAAAAAGTGATTCCCCCAACACCCTATTCACTAGGCTACTACTTTAATGTAAAGAGTCATTTCTTATTACTTCCTATGATAAGCAAGCATACTACATCACAGAAAGTGCTGGGAATATTTAAGTTCTCATCTTGTTTTATTTCAGACCTTAACAAACAGATGGCTCAAACTTACAAAACATTAAGTCGAACAAGTTCTGTAGCTTTACAAAATGAATATGCTACAACTTCTGTAAAAATGAATAAATAAAATATTAAAAAATAAAATGTGTGCTTCCTGTTTTACAGAGGTAGCTATACAAAACAGACATCTTCTGTTAAAATAAGTGTTTTCAGTGCACAGTAACGTAAGCAATACAGTAACAGTACAGTCTTACAGTAATGTAAATTTACATACTACTAACAAAAAAGTGCAATCTTACAACTGTAAAGTTGCATAAACTCCTGAATAAAACTAACTACGTAGCCTCTAACACTTCAATAACGTTCCCATGGCAACAGGGGAAATGGCTGCGCTTGTGTGAAGTAAACGCAACATTTTTCAACTTTCTGCCAAGATATATGTGACTTTTTGCAACGAAAATGCGGGGATTATGAAATCATGCAAGCCCGCATATTTTGCGCGCGGAAATCTGCAATTTATGCGGCAAAAGTGCGGCGTATTTGAAAAAACGCGCCCCCCGCATAAATATGCGGACTTTGGCTGATTTTGCGTGGAATCTTGCGATCGCATAATCGCGTTTTTCTGGAGGGACTGATAAGGCTGCAGCTGCTGCAGCACACAAGGTGGTGGTGTAGTCAGCACCACCGTTGCTTGCCCACCTGTATCTCCATAGTCCTGATGCACGTCAATGCGTAAACAGCATAACCGTACCTCTAATCACAGGCACCGCACACTTGGGATGGGTTTTGGATTTGAAAAAAAATGATTTGGATTCCACATTTTTTTATTTTAAGGCCGATTTCAGATAATTTTGAATACAGGTATTTTCAGATGATTTACATGTAATAATGTAACAGGTCTTCGTGCTAACAGAAGTGACATCATCCCAACGCTACTTTTGGCAGAAGCAGGAAAGTAAGGTCATTTCCTGTGCCATCATTTCCCGTGGTGCCATGTTTCTTGAATTTATCGATCCAAAACCAACAAAAATTCAGGTAATCCGAAATGTGTCTAGGCCAGATGTTCGAATTGTTTCCGCTTAATTAAAAAAATCTGGAACATCCCTAGTACACACACACATGACAGTCCTATAACTTTATAAAACATATTTGGGGCAGTTTCAGATTGCATTTCACTCTGAGCACATTAACTATTTGGTAGTTTCATTCAGCATGTTGATCTTACTGTTGTTGATTTTATACATTCCTTTATTTTCATGATTCCTTGAAATCTCACGGTGTGTATCGTCATCTAGAATGTGGGTTGGTATACTCTGCTGGTTAAGGTTTGATAGTGGAATGTTTTACTGGCAATCAATTTAACTGAGTTAAAAACGTTAAGATGTTTCTACCACACCTGTATGCATGTCAGCACATGCTTGTTAAGAATTTATATTTTCCAACACTTTAAAAAGTATTTGGCATTATGGTTTTTAAAATGCTACCATTCGTTCCTGTTGTTTTAATTGTATGCTCAATATTTTTAAAGTATTTTTGTGACTAGAAAAATTAAGATGAAGCAATTACACATCAATCATGGGTTTTAACTTTACCCAGTTCTAAATAAAGGTGATTATTTATTAAATTATTCATTGGTTGAACCATGAGTCACGATCCATCTGATTATGCCCTTTATAAAAGACAAGGTTTTTAGAAACAGTATCACAAATTATATTTTAAGAGCTCAATTCACATATGGCCCAATTTTGGTTTTACTTTTTTTGTTCCATTGCCAAAACTAGTGCAAATCAGTAAACGTAGTTTGTTTCGGCCATTTGAGAATTCACATATGAAATATCATTTAATACATGAGCCCAGCTGGTGCATGCCCCATTTCTTGTTATATATATTTTTTTGGAAAATTCTGCCATTTGAACAAAATTGAAATCACCACCGTGATATGTTTCGATCGTTCTCACATGACAGA